GAGTCGGTAAAATGGATAGTGTTCAATACAACCGAACATCATTTTGACATGACTCAAAATCATCCATGCAAATTTTTTAATTTATCAATTATCTTTTGGAAAAAATCTCATAAGCTTTCAAAGTATAAATCAAATATGTTTCAATGTCATTCGATTTTAAGTTTATTTATACTAGATAATCAACTGACTAAAATAAAATTAAATGAAAGCATTATTTACTCATTCATCACTTTTAACCAGTCGCAAATTGTATCATATCAACATCCCTTATAACTACCACACTGTATGTCTCGTGCTTTTCAGAGATAATACATATATAGGATGCCAATAGTCAAAATACCATCAATGCCTAATATTACAAGGATAATATTTCTAGCATTGTTACACAGCCACAATCATTTTTCTATTTAATCACCATCAGCAAACTCTAAATTAAAATTTATTTGTTTATCAAAATCACAAAGGTAAAATTTCCTTTTAAACAATACCCATGATTAATGTTCTTATATCAACATATAATGAAGTGAATAACATTTGTCCAATGCTAGGAATGGTTATAACCACATTAGAAAAACTGGCTGTACCATTTTTAATTATTGTGGTTGATGGAAACAGCCCAGATGGAACATCCAACATTGTAAAAAAATTAAACCATCCAAATATTAAAATAGTAGATGAAAAATGTAAATCTGGATTAGGAAATTCATACATGAAAGGACTTGAATTCTGTAAGTATGAATACACCGTAATTCTTGATGCAGATCTTCAACATGACCCATTTTCTATTTTTCAAATGTTCAGTCAGGCAACATCACATAATAAATACGATATAGTCACAGGTACAAGATACTCAAAGTCAGGGATGGTATCTAGATGGTCATTTAAAAGAAAGTTTATCTCAGCAGTTGCAAATAACCTAGCAAAATATGTACTTGGGTTGAAATCATCAGATCTGACAGGAAGTTTTAGGTGTTATCGCACCGAAGTACTGAAAACTATTCTCTCAAAATCAACATGTAAAGGATTTGGAATTCAATTAGAACTAATTGCAAGAGCAGAAAAAATGAAATGCCAAATTGCAGAAGTTTCCATTATTTTCTACGATCGAGTGGCTGGAGATTCAAAGTTTGGACTCAAAGAGATCTATTTATTCCTAAAGACAGTTTTAAATTTATATATTACAATATAATATATTAAATTAACCTCATTTAATGATTTAAATTGGGACATATTACATTCTATTTTTAAGCTTAAATGTCAACAGCATAATCATTTAATTGTTAGTTCATCATTTAATTCACATTTTTACAAATAACATAGTTATATCCACTCTTCACTGGTTGAAAGCTTAATGTAATTGCATAGTCTGTATTTCAACACATCACAGAGAATATCAAGACATCGTTTATCTGCAGCTTCAAAGCCAACAAGCTTTAGGTATTTCAAAATAGTATTTCTGAGTTGTGGTGTACAATCAACAATTTCGAGACCTTCAATTGTAAATGGCTGGGGATCTTTAGCAAAAACTTTTTGATGCTTCATTAAAAGAGCATTGGCCTCTGCTCTAAGGTCATTAGCACACTCAATGTAATATTCAATCCCTGCATTATAGATCATGCAGTTATTTATGATCAGATCAATATCATCTCTAAATTCATCCAAGCTTCTGTATAAGGGTAATTTCTTTGCCATGGTTCCAAGATCCATTGGATTCTTGATAACGTCATAGTATCCAGGTGCTTCCTTTTTCCCTACTTTTTTCAAGAATATTACTGCTCTTGGAAGTCTTTTAAGATATTTTAGTATCTGTTTTAAAGTACTTTGTAAGATAGTTTGTCTAGCTATGATCTCGGTCTTTTCTTTTGAATCACAAATAAAGTTGAGTAAAAATTCCATGACGATTCTTTTGAGGGTTACAACAATTTCAAATTTTTACAAGATGCTTACAATTAAAGCAATTTCATTTAAATAAATAGCCCTACACCATTGTCTATCATTAGAAATTAAAGCTTGGTATGTTGACCAACTGATGGATATTAATGGCATGTGTGCAGTATGGCTAAAACCAACATTAAAATATACCAATCAAATAGAATATTGGAAGTTTCATAGTACAATCAATTCAATACAAGATAGCGTATATGCTAATAGTAAATTATTGTAATAGCTGTAACGTAAATATTTAAGCTTATTAAAAACATTTGACTTCAAATAAATCGTTATTAAAATCTAGAACTGCATAGCACTTCTCCTTGACTGGAGGAAGACTTATAAATTTGATACCTTCGACATCCAAAACAAGTGGATGAAAATCTTGGGAAATAATCATTATGCTAGGAAAATATGGTACAGAAAAGTCAGACCCAGCAAACGGGCAGATGGAGCCTTGTGAAAGTATCGACTTCAAAAAGGATTCTATGTGATTATTGTTAAAAACCATACCATTTTTTCTATGCTCAAAAAGATTATAATCAATAAAGCCTATCAGATTGTTAAAAATGTTGATCAAAAATGGATTTGAAATGTTGTTTAGATTAAACGGAATATACTCAGCATCAAATCTAGAAGGACAAATAATCACATTAGAGCATAACTCCTCAAAAGCAGAGCCATTTATGGAATTTTTCACTGAGACGATGCAGAAATCTGGAGTTTCAATAGACAATACCGTCTTTACAAACTCAAATTCACCATCAAAACACCCAAACACACATATTTTTGCATTTTTGATTAATTCAAGATTGTTAGAAGGAATGTGCACAGGATATTTTGGTAAAATTAGCTCCTTAACCTTAAAATCCCCAGATTTTATCCCTTTTAGCCCCACAAACATATTTTCAAATAGAAAACCATCACTTTGCACATCACTCAAATCAACTTCTATCACATCATAGTCATCTTCAATCAAATACTTACCATTTCTACTTCTAGAAAATATTCCAAAGATCACCTTTTCAACACCTTCCTGCAGTAGAGATAATGAAATGGCATTTACACGTAAGCGTAAGGATAGGTCTTGAAAGCATTTATAAAAATCCACAGAACAATACTTAAACGTTTTTAGTTCTAAATTATTAAATGCTCTTTCCTTACCACTTTTATTATTTGGTTGCATGCTGAGTTCCTTTACTTGGTCCAAAGAGAGTGAAGCTGTGTTAAACCTTGCTTGGAAAGATTTAAGAAGGGCATGTATGCTGTCAATATCCTTAAAATTATTTGAAATATATTCTAGCACAGGTGCTGAAAGCATAATTCCATTTTCTATGGTGAATAGTCGGAAAACTTCTTTCTTCATGGACTGTGGGTAAAAATGTAAGTGACCAAAATTATTATATTCATAAGAAAGACGGCAGAATAGCCAAACAGCATTGTTAGAAGTGCTGTACATTCCTTATAAAATACTGCTGCAGTCTTCTTTACAACATTATCCATATAGCATCAAAAGTAATATTAAAGGAACGTTAATACTTGTGACAGATTCTCATTTATTTAACATCCACATAGATTCACTATTGATATTACATCCTATCAATATAATGTAAATGCCCTTTATTTACTTGAGTATTCCTACTTACAGCACATCTTTAAAATAGACCGCATTGATCAATATTTGAATTTCATAAATAATATCAAATAAATGAAAATTTTGTTTATTTTTTGAAATTCCCATGACAAAGCTAGATAAAAGGCCAGTCTACAAAAATAAAAAAATTGAGAAGGCATTCAAAAATGCAGAGTACTATTTTGTGAGGTACGTAACAGACTGTCCTATTTGTTTGAATTACTTTGAAAATCCACAGGTATTGCCATGTGGACATTGCTATTGCCATTTGTGTATTTCAGTATGTACCGAGTATACCAACAATTGTCCGATGTGTGCAGAATTTTTCTGGATCTACAAACCAGCACAGTTTTTCTTTACACAGGAGATTGAGGACTACATACTTCTTAGGAAATGCTGTACTGCTGAAGTATCCAACTCTGAATCCATCAACTTCTACGAACATCCGTTTTCGTTAGAATATTTTGAAGAGTCACTGTTAGGTGAAGTAGAGCTTATTTCAATAAGTAAAAAAGTGGAGAATTCAATATTTTATCAGAGCAACGACGGTCAGTTATACTTTCTAGATCCAAAAATAACAAGCAAAATGAAAACAAAACCCCACTACCTTTACTGTAGAATAAGGGAGAAGCATGAATGCCATGCTAATTATGAAAAACACCCCGAACTCGCTCACATACCAGCTGGCACAAAAATCATTATAGTTAAAATATAAACACATTAAAGTTCCAAAGATAGAGCACGATGAAATACACAAACTCAATAAACACTTGTAAAATGCATCTATTTCACATCCGTGGCTAGCTAAAATGATAGATTTTTGTATATTGTTAGATATCTCGTTATGTCAATTTAAAATAATTTATTAATTTTTAATTAAAAGATATCATCCTCCGCTGAAAATGAGCTCAACTCCTCTTCTTCGTCAAATGTCTCTATATCAATCTTATATCGAAGAATTCCACCTAACCCTCCAAAACCTTCTACAAACTGCGTTCCTTCCCCACTTTTATCACTCACAAACACAAGTTTACAGCCATAGTTCTTGTAGTTTTCTGCAATCCAATCTATAAAGAGCGTATCTTCGTACTCTGAATCTAGATTTTCCCAGACAATCAGTGTGTCTATCGCCCCTGATTCAAGGCATCCAATCGTTGCCTTAAACCCATAACAATACATTCCTGTATTTAGATTAAGCTCATCAAAAAATTTTTGTAAAACCTTTTTTTCTTTGGAAAATCTAACGTCCTTTAGTACGTCCTCACACAATTCAATCGCCTGATTCAAACCATTCTTACCACTGTAATTGGTATCAACCGTTTTGATAACGGCCAATCTCTGATCAATTATTGAGTTTAATTCATTTTTCAAATCAGAATGCCCCGCAAGAATAATACCTTCAACATTCGAGACTGAGTTAGTTATAAAAACATTTGTGCAGATCTCTGCAACTTTTTTAACGTATGCTTGTCTCTTCTCAACTCTAAGCCTAGCAAATCTAACTGAGCTCTGCCCACCTCTACCATGCTTTTTAGGTAAATCAACAGTAATCTGTTGCAAAATAGTTTGAATATTGCCCTGAAGAGTAGCAAATATAGCGCCATGGCCATCTATGACAACAAATCCATACTTTGTATCGTCCTCAAAAAGTGCCAAGACGTCTTCTACATGAAACCTACTATCACACATATACAGACTGGTATTTATTGGTTTTATAGGCTCAATAGCATATGCTATCTTCTTTTCTTTGTTATCCTGTGTGAGAATCTCACCAACATACAATGCCAATCCATTTTTGGGTGTTTTGCTAATGGTCTTTAGCTTAGCCTGTGCAGATGAGATTGCAGTTAAGACACTCAATCTATTCACTCTACTCTTAATATTTGTGGCAGTTCCATATTCATCTGTCAACATTTGAACGGTCCTACAAAGTTGTTCTTTTGGAGGAATGATGATTGAAATCATGCTTGTACCATTTCCTCTTACATCACGAAGAAATTTCAAGAGTTTTTTCTGCTTGAATACTTCGATTTCATCAGCTTCCATAAGGATAGAAAATAAGCAAAATTTATAGTCCAAGCAATGAAGCGATTAAAATAAATAGTAGTTAAAATAGACGGATACATTGAATGAAATGATAAGTAAAAATGACTACTTAAAAATGCTAAATAGACAGGGGAGTAAATAATATAAATAAAGGTTTCACATAAATTTACTCTTCTTCAAATGGTTAATATTTACAGGCTCAGCATCAGAATCCTGAGTACTTTCATATTCCTCATCTTCTCTATTTGCCAATGTTGTTAGACCTTCAATAAGATTCATGCACTCTTCTGCTTCTTTATTCATTCCAAGCTTGGTGTACATTTCAACCACCTGTTTGTAATATCCAATAGAATCATCGTACATTTTCATATTTCTGTAACATTCTGCTATACATTCCAGAATTTCCGCTGTTAATGAGTCATCATCACAATTATCAATGGCCTTTAAGTACTCCAGCTTCCCCTCATCAAAACAGTTCTTTAAACATAGGACATCGCCTAATCCCTTGTATACCTCTGCAAGCTTAGATCGGTTATTCAGATCAGTGAAATGAAGACGACATGTCTCAAGACAGACCCAGCAATTCTCCAAGTCTTCTTCTATTTCTCCTTCATCCTGTGGATTCCTTGTCTGAAGTATCTTTTTATAGTTCATTTCAGATTGATGCATTACATTTTCAACGAGACACTGTGCATACTCCAAAAGTATATGAGAATACTCCTCGGAGTCCTCTTCTACATCATTTAGAATGTCTACGTATACTTGGAGTGCAGAGGCGTAGTTTCTGTGCTTTAAATATGCGTGTGCATCCTTTATGGTTGGAAAAATGTTCTCAATATCCATTGGGCAGGAAAAAAATGAGAAAAATCAAGCATAGAAAGAAATGCATGAAAAGAGTATACAGTCGGTTTTAATTTTATAGACGTATTTAATTATGAAACTCACCCATTTCTAATCGTCGTTATTGTTTTACCGTTCTTGTATTCTACTTCGGTGGTAAATGGGTTAAGACTAATTTTAGTGAATTTTGAACTAATTTTTATACACCCATAATGGAAAGTGAAGAGTACTTTGGCAAAATAACTAGGCATTTGATAGAAAATCAACACAAATGCAGAGCAGTTCCAAAGGAAGAGTTCAAAGATCTTCTTGGTCTTCCTATGCGAACAATTGACAATGTCTTGTCTAGAATGCCTGAGTTTTTGCACTCTTTGGGACTTGAGATAGTAGGAATATCCCAAAATGAACTTGTGCCATTAAGCGAAGCAAAGAAGGTCTTTTTAAGAAAAATGTGCATAGAACATACCAAAAAGGCAAAGACAATTCCAACTTTAGAAGAAAAGAGATTATTTGTAGTGTTCGCAGCTATTCAGCTGGAAAACAACCAATTTGAAGAGTCGAAACTAGGAAGTCTTCGTGTATGTCCGTATTTTAAGGGTGTTAACATTCTTGAATTTTTTGATCAATACAAAATGAATGGGTATTTAATAATCAGAAAAGAAAAGGAAATGCCAGTATGGTCGTTGGGGTGGAGATTCTATGTGGAGTATGGTGATTGTTTTGATTTGGTTGAATATTTCAAAGAATACACAACAACGCTACAATCATCCTCTTGAATGAGAGGGTGTTATAAGCTAGTACTGCAAGTTAATATTACAAAACGATTCTGTTATAACCAATCACTACTTGATGAAATGCATAATATTGTTAATACATTATGTTAATGACAGCTCATAACGAATTTTATTGATATTACATTTTATACACTTCCATTCACAAATCTTACTCTAATGTTTAAATAGAGCACTGCAATAACCATTACAATAAATATTATTTATAAATATAAACATTAGTGATTAGTTTATGCTCATCTAAAACTTTCTTGTTTTATGGAAGTTGTTATATCTTGAAACGCTACTGTGCTTGTGTCCCTTCCTCTCTTTAACGGTAGGAACATACGAATAAGCTGTTGTATTTTTCTCACACAAAAAACCATCCTCAATGCAAGACGCACTTCCACGTGACAGATCTCTAAGTTGATACTTTGTTTCTGGAGTCAAATCGCTAATATGAGTAATGGTTGAGTGCTCTGATGAATCACTGAAAGTGTTTATGTTTTCAACAACGGGCTGTAGATTGAGTTTAAAACGATATTTGTGTCTCTTTTCAACATCATTCACCTGTTTTCTTTTTTCCATTATGCTTAATTCATTCTCATCGTAGCTATTTTCAAAGCTTGTAAAATCGTAATTCAGACTGTGATGGGATGAAGTCTCGTCGTATGAATTCTCAATAGCATTTCCCCTAATCGACCCAAATTCATTATCTTGAATTGAATATTGCCCCCTAAATTTACTATCATTGATTTCTGGTGTCCCTTTTATCTGATATGAATTTATGTAACGACAGGACGATCGTGGACTGGGTAGAAACTCCTTGCTAGGACTAAGACTCTCAGAATCAGAACAGGATCCAAGCAGATAGAGTAAATATCTATGAGAAGGCCATTTTACAGTGTGATTCTTTCTAATCGTGTCTATCTTATTAAACTCTAAACCATTCCAGATTCTTGAAATATTGAAAGACTTAAGCTTATCCTTTGAAAACCCATAGTCTATTTCATATTTCAAAGATTCCATGATGGGTGAGCGATTCATAGCCAGATCGGTGTAAAGACGTTCAATATCCAAGGTTATTTCCCCACAACGATACTTAAACATTCTATTCTTTCTAATTGCATCCAAGACAAAGTAGAAATCTTGGTAATATTCACAGTTATCGTGAATTATTTGCAGTACGTTTTCTGTTTTAAGTTTTAAATTCTTTCTCTTTAATAAGCTATGTACAAGTATCTTTGAGATTCCTTTTGCGTTTCTTTGATTGTGAAATGTAAAAGAGTTACCGTTTAAAACAACATCGACGCTTCTCTCCACAACGATGGCATTTTCTGAAGTGGAATGGACTGTATGGTTATTTATCTTGCAACAACCGCTGTTCACCCGTATTAACCAACATTCTTCAATCTCGGAGTAGAGAAAAGACAATGAAGTTTCCTTGTCGTATATTTGCCATCTTTTAAGTGCTGAACCGATTGAAAGTAAGTCCTGAGCAGCAGTATTATTTGTAATCTTGAAATAAAAAGTATGTGACATATGGGCTTAAAAAAACTTTAAAAAAAAGTTTTTCAAAATGTGAGAAAGACTGATTTGCACAATTTTTTTAATTGCAGTAAACTAAAAAACGGAGGAGATGCAAGGTTAGGCAAACGCATTGCCATTTTTGAGGGATCTGCTGTTTTGTTGCATGAGCGGTGCTAGTCAAATTTGATCTTAAAAATTTTTTAGATCAACGAAATTCCGATATGAAATAACGACATTAAAATGTAAATAGAACACGATTCATACCATAAATCTGCCGATATTTATCGTTAATGAGATCGGAAGTTTATTTGTTAAAACAAATTTTTTAACAATCCCAAAGACCAATGAGCTCAACACTTGAAAAAATAAAAGAAATAGAAGATGAAATGGCCAGAACTCAAAAGAATAAAGCCACATCATTTCATCTGGGAATGCTCAAAGCAAAGCTAGCCAAATTACGAAGAGAATTAATTGCTCCACAGAAAGGATCCGGTACAGTTGGGGAAGGCTTTGATGTTGCTAAAACAGGAATTGCAAGAGTAGGATTTGTTGGGTTTCCCAGCGTGGGGAAGAGTACATTGATGTCAAAGCTGACAGGGGTTTATAGCGAAGTAGCTGCATACGAATTTACAACACTTACCACAATTCCGGGAGTTGTGAAATACAACGGAGCAAATATTCAAATACTTGATCTTCCTGGTATTATTGAAGGAGCCAAGGATGGAAAGGGACGCGGACGGCAGGTAATCGCAGTCGCAAAGACATGCTCGCTCATCATCGTATGCCTTGACGTTACAAAACCCATTACGCACAAGAAAGTGATAGAAAAGGAACTGGAGGCGTCTGGTATTAGGTTGAATAGACAGCCACCGAAAATCAGAATTACGAAAAAGGAGAGAGGTGGCGTTACTGTTTGTGGAGGAGACTTGGATCATGAGCTAGTTCGAAGCGTACTCCATGAATTTAGGATAAACAATGCTGATGTTAATATTTCAGAGCAGGCTACTATTGATGATTTGATTGATGTAGTCGAGGGTAACAGAAAGTACGTTCCAGCGATATACGTTCTGAACAAGATAGATTCAATAAGTATTGAAGAGCTAGATATTATTTCTAGAATTCCTCACACCGTTCCCATAAGTGCGGAGCATGGTTGGAACTTCGATACTCTTTTGAAGAAGATTTGGGAATATCTTGATCTGATAAGAATTTATCCTAAGCCCAAAGGATCACCGATCGATTACGATGAACCAGTAATTTTGAAATCTAAAAGGAGGAGTGTTGAGGATTTTTGTAATGCCATTCACAGGGATATAATTAAGAAATTCAAGTATGCAATAGTTTGGGGTAGCTCTGTAAAGCACACTAAGCAGAAAGTTGGAAAGGACCACGTATTGAATGACAGTGACGTAGTTCAAGTAATAAAAGGCGTATAAATAAATTAATAAAAAATTTCCAAGTGCTGATTGCTTCAAGCAATACTCTCATAACTATTGTTTTAATTTCCACAGCTGTGGTGGTAACGTTTCTTCTTTCTGATATGAAAGATGGTTGATTTCAATATTGCTTTTTACCGATCCTTGCTCATTAACAATCTGCAGTTTTTCAAGACTGATGTGCAACATTGAAATAAGGCAAGAAAATAATAAAACTGTTAGTAAAACGAAAAACCAATGCCGAAACACCATGCTTTGCTTTAAAAAATGAAATTTTTTATCATCCATGGATGAGATAAAGTCGAACTGGAAATACTACCAAGTTTCAAGTATAGAACAACAACAAAAAGACTGGGCGAGCAGTGTAAAGCAGATATGCATAGTAAAAACAGTCCCTGAGCTGCTCTACACTCTTGATCAGACTGAGATTGCTGGATTGGAGAATTTTCTAGACTTGAGCTTTTTTAGACAGAATATAGCACCAATGTGGGAGGATCCAAACAACGTGACTGGGGGACGAATAATAGTGGAGATCCCCACTGCCTTGAAGGAAAAGCTGCATGGACTGTGGAAAAAGACAGTTGTATTCTGTATATTAGAGCCCTTCAAGGGGATCAATGGATGTGTATATGCTGAGAAAGCAAACTATAGAATATGCATTTGGATTTCTGATCCAACAAGCGCCGAAGACATAACACATGCCTGGAAGCGTATTTTAGATTGTGATGAATTGTCATTTTCATTCTCGTTACATGCAAAACACACAGAACCATCAAAATCAAAGAAAAAGCCGTTTTCATCCCGTAGGGATCGCTAATAAATAAACCTGCTTTATTAAAGTAAGCTATCTTTATTTGCCGTTGATTTCCATTATTAATGATAGAAAAACTGTCAAACCCCCTTCAAAGAGGGTGTTTTAATTTTTAATATTTGCAGAGAGTTAGTAAATTTAACGTTAATACTAAAAATGCAGTAATCCTAAAACAAAATACCGGCTATTTACATTATTCATTCAATTACAGTTGGATTGCTGTCATTTTGCTCTCCATTTAACTCTTTTTTTGCCTTAAAGGTAAACTGTGAAGCTGTCATTTTCCTAATGAATTGCTTTGGGGTAACTTTACACATGGAGTTCTTTTTCTTTTCAATGCTAACATTCTTTGGGCATGCAAAATGGTCAAAGAAGCATAAAGGCAAGTACAGCTGCTTAGCACGCACAGAAAACACATGTAACTTCGTCAAAAAAGACATGTCATCCTCAGAAATGTAGAATTTCTTCTGTTTCGTGCAAAATGATATGCTAAAAACAGGAAACTTAATAGCACTCAAAACTCCTCTCAGCTTCTCTGGAATACGCTCGTGACCAAACTCCAATATTGTAAATTTCCTCAGATTTCTGCACCCTCCAACCCATCTTGCTAGTACGTCGCATGTCGTTTGACTTAGGTCAGACGGATAGTCCATTTCCAACTCCTCCAACTGAGGTATGCAGGGCAAACTCTTCTCCAAAATCAACGGCATGTTATTGAATAGCAATACCAGCCTTCTTAGTCTGGGTAGCGTGGATATGCTTTTAATTAGATCTTTTATATACTTCTCTATGCAAGCAGTACTATCATCCTCTGAAGGTTTTTGAAAGTTAACTGTGAGTGTGGTGATGTTTGAAAGTAGGAATAGCTCAGCTGGAATGAGGAGAGGCATTTCGTTGATTTCAACGTGGACGTTATCGGTTCTTTGTATTCTTTCCAACCACGAGAACTCTGTATAGTAAATATCATCTTTGGTCAATTTGACTGTTTGATCAGTGCTTTTGACATGTTCTTTTATACCATTCACTCTTTCAACAGCCATTCTCCATCTCTCAAAAAGCCTGAGGAAGTTTAAATGCTGATGAAACTGTGATACTGCGTCGACAGGATTATTGTGTCCATTGTCAGAAGGTGGGGTACGGTCTTGTACATTTTCTAATTCTTTAAGCTCTCTTTCACATTTTTGTTTAATCATCGAGTGTAATGTTTGGTTCATTAAAATACTTGGGTTGCGGTCTTCAATAAGACGATCTATTCTCTCTTTGTCATCAGACCTTAGCTTTGTGTCTCTATAAAACACATCAAACATGGACACTATTCTATAAATTTCACTAGAACCTAGCATGCAATCTTCCTGTTCCAGACAGAGATTAAAAAACTCAATTTTTGACATATGGTGGGATATAACATTCTTTAAGTACACCAGAAAGTCTTTTATATTATTTACAATTTCAGAGGTTAATTTGTCTGTGCCAGACATTTCACTAAGCTTGTTTAAATCATGCAAATAGTTGGCATCGCATTTTTTCAAAGAAGAGCCTTTCTTCTTGGAATCCAATGTAGCTTTAACCTGGCCAGTGTGCTCATCGATTGAAACATGTTCAAGCAATATCCTGAATATTCGCTTTGAAAATGATGAAAACCTGTGAGTGCGGAAATCTTTAATGTCAGACCAATATTCTGCATCGTCAGGTGTACAGACTTTAGGATCAGCATCGCTTCCTGTATTGCAAGCATTAAACAAATTGCTATTTTCTTTTGGTGGTAATCCATTGGGCATCTTTGTTGAAATTAACATGCTGTTGTTTTCTTCTGTTCCATTTACGGTGATATTTGGGCTTTTGTATGTATTATCAACCTCAAAACTAAGCCCACTGCTCAAACTGTCCGATGATTCGCTCAATAATAAATTTTGGGTGCTATCTGAAGTTTTTTGTAATAACCATGGACCACAAACCATTCCTTCATTAGGCATGTGAGGTGGCAAAAGGCTACTACTGATTACGACATCAGATCTGATTAAGACCACGATAGGCCCTATTATTTTTGCTAGGCCAAATATGATATGGCTTAGCTTTGATTCTCCTCTTTTGTACATAGTACTGGTTTCTATCATGGACATATTTATACTTTAAAAATTTTGAAAATTTTTCATGTCAGAAATGATTTTAGATTAAAGCTGAATCTTTTCATCACCAGATTTTGTAAAATGGAAAGGAACAGAATAACAGCAGTCCTGCAAACACAAGTACATGTTTACCTTCTAGTTACATGCCAATTCACATACATGAAACACCATAAAATATTTAAGTTGACAGTGCATTTTTACATTACAAACTTTATACTCAGTGAGATTATCAATGATACGTTTGACACTATTCGATTTGCCTAAGAAAAGTCTAAAAATTTCTCGAAATCAAATATAAAAATCAAGTACAGTACCGTAAACATAGCAAAACAGTTCTAGTACCATGCATAATCCGTAGGAAATAAATGCAAGTGGTCTTTAAGGATTCTTATCATCATTGAAAGACTAAAAATTTTACTATTTTCATTAATCTGCACAAATCATAAACTTTGAACCAAAAGACAGTAACATAATCGTTGCCAAGGTGGGTACTCGAAGAATGGTCTGATCAATTTACAAGAGACTTAAATATCAAAATTATACCGTTAATATTTTGGTCACCGTTATTTTGATCAGCGTCAGTAAACTCTGTTTAGGTTATCGCTTTTATTGCAACAGCCACAAATATAGAATAAATACTGAACATGGCATTAGTCGTCCAAAAGACGTATTGACGTTTTATTCGCAGATGAGCAACAAGTGAAAGTACCTGGCAATTTAATTTTTCAATATCCCAATTTTTTAATCGCTCAAGTATTGCACACAACACCTGCTTAGAAGTAGTTTGTCTTTCAATAATTTTATGCTTCGATATGTTTGCATCAAAAATGCCAAGCATTTAAGCATACTTCAATTCCATCAATGTCAAACTTACAACTTTATTTCAAATAAAGTCTGCAGCCCCATTTATGGTATACTATTTTTAAGATATGAAAGAAACCCCTCCTTTCTAGGTAAAACATAACGAATCAATTCATTTTCATCATTTGTGCTATGTTGGACTGCTGCTGAACTTTGTGGCTGTACTTGAAAGTTTTTGCATGCCTTCAACGGATCAACCTACAAGGACTGTCGAGAGTATCATAAATGCGGCAGTTGAGAGGTTTTAATCAAAGACAATACGCCTCGTTACTGGCAGGGACTTTTAATGTTTTTGCAATGCCTCGTAGATAAAAATTTTAAAAAATTTGCAAAACCCAGTAACTAATATTTTAAAAAGTTAGTTAGGCCTGTGTAAAAATGCATCTTTCGAGTATAAATTACCCCTTAATAGTAGTTTAAAGACTGTCATGGTTGTTAAAGTGTATAGTGCAGGCTTCAGGACAGGAAACTGTAAGTTAAGAGATACAGGTACCATTAAGCTTCTTTTCATCAACAATGAAAAATTTTCATTCCTTTATGGATAAGAAGCTCTTTGAAGAAGAACAACTCACAAAAAATATACCAAAGGAAGTGATAGAGATAATCAATGCAATAGATTCAACAAGAGCATGCCAAGTATGCGAGCACATCTTTAATTCCTGTGATCTTAGTGATTTTGTAGGCTCCATTAGTCTACCCCAATTTGAGGAAATTGAGAAAAGATCAACACTTGTTGAGGAAGCAAGATCAAAAATTAAAAGCTTTGACAGGAAAAGAGCAAAGTAAGATGGCATTTTGTCAACTAAGCAAGACAGGCATGCCACATATTTGGTAAACCTTAAAAAATGTAAGATAGTATGGGCATTTATTAAAGAATACATCAACAATTACTTCTACACAGTATTTTTATAACACAACAGCTTTATTGTTTATGGCTTTGGTGTATTTTTATCCTTTACTTTCTAGGACGACTCGGTTGGACCTTACGAAGAATCAAAAGTATTCCAATACTGAGGATTATGCCACCCGCAAACAGCACATTGGCCTCTATCCATCCGAATGTGTCCATAAACGGATACGGCCAGGCACCTTCAATGTAAAATACATAGTTGGCTGATATTACATATGCTAATCCAATTATGAAAATGAAAAATATATTAATCAGTGAGCAGCTCAACCTCGCTGTTGTTCTGAGCAGGGAAAGGCTCAAGAGAGGGAAAAGGTGTAGACAAAGATCTGTAAACATGGGGTTTCTAATGTTCTTTTCAGTCAAAAAGACAGGATAAAAGTTATTGTAATTGATGAGCATCAGTGGCCAATATCCAAGAAAGACAATAATAGAAAGTATGAGCGAAAGAGGAAACAGAAATGAAAAGGTAATATGTAGAAAGTATGTAAAGGCGCCGATACCTATCAGTTTTTTGATCATCAAATATCCCAGTTTGGATGCAAATGTGATCAAAGTAAAGTAAATATTCCAGAATGTTAAAAAGGAACCATAGCCAAGATATTTCGAAGTAAAGTAGTTGTGGAGTTCAACAGGAAAGGCCCACGGGGACAAGGAATAAAGGCACATGGACATTCCTAGCACACAGATCAGTATCTGAGCAATTGGCATAGGGGTAAAACATGTCTTAGCAAAAGATCTTCTTTAGGTGCAACACTTTCACATAACTAAAAGTGTGTATACCCACCAAAGGATCAGAAAGCAAAAACTTGTAAGAACTTCAAAGCATCCTCAGTTTTATTGCATAATGCCAGGGTAATGGTTAAATAAAACAAAAGTAAATACAATTACATTCAACAAACACGAAATGGAATCTGTCTTGCCATTATTTTGTAAACAGTATTTTAATCAGTCGTTGGTTAGACGAGCATTAGCGCCAAAACGATAAATACACAAATAAGAACAAGCAAAGCCAGCAGTTTTGTGTATTTTTTAAAGCTATTTCTGCTGCTATGCACCGTTTTTATGGGCATTTCGCCGTATGCCCTAATTCTTTCAGAAAAATTCATCAGTGGTGAATGGGAATAGCTGGACTCGGTGATATGTGGGATTTGGTTCCTTTTTATATTAAATCTAGCAAGTTCCAGCTCTTTCTTCTGGATGAATTCCTCGAACGCCTGTCTCATATCAGCTGTCTGCATTCTATCCATGTTAAGGGGCAACATACCAGGTGATAATTGAAATTAGAAAGGAGAAGAAAGGAGTAAAACATCATTTAATCGTTCAACAACTGGTAAATGCTGAATGACTATCCAGTAACTGTAAACACGCAAGATAAGGCTTGTTGTGTTCTAGTGGTGTGTGATCAAGCCATAGGCATTGCTATAGAGAACAATACAGTGGTTGTTGTATTGATGCTTCTACAGCCATATGGATGTTTTAGTATTGGTTTCGCATTGTCTACTGAAAAAAAGGATTTTGCAGAAGCCCAGTGTAAAGTGGGCATGGTTTATTTAAGGCTTAGGACTAGAATTGTAAACATTTGCCATTGTTTGTTAGATGTTTTTTAAGCACACTACCCTTATCAAAATGGACCACTCTTTGAATGATCTTCATAAGAAACGAAAGACACGATTTCCACTTTCAAGAATAAAAAAGATCATGCAGCAGAACGAAGATGTTGGAAAGGCAGCAATAACTGTTCCTGTTGTGCTCAGCAAGGCTTTGGAGATGTTTTTTGAGCAGATTATATCCAAAATGGCAGAGAGTGCAAAAAGAAGAGAATCAGCTAAGATCCAAGCACAGGATTTCAGAAGTGTTGTTAAGAGCAATGAAGAACTGTATTCATTTTTGGTGCCACTGTGCAGCACTGAGAAAGAAGATAGCCAGTAGAAAACCAATAAATTTATTAAATATATTTAATTTTAAATATTAACCATTAAGGTTCTACAGTATTGCTGTGGGAAGCGTTCCGCAAATAGTTGATGTATTCATGTAGTAAGTTGTGCTACTTTGGTACCCTTTAATGGGTAACACAGAAGCAAGTGATACGCTCTACAATGCTTGTAAAACAAGGGTGGATGCCTTTTCACAGAACTCAGATGTCTTGGAATACTTAAAAGCAAATAGAAAAACAAAATTCAACGAGGATGACGTGTTCAGTGTCCTTGAAGGAATGTCAGCTCAGTACTGCTTGGCCTTTTATTTTCTATCTGAGTCGAACAGAGTCATAAATGCAAAAACATACAAGCTTAGCTTTCTCTTTAAAAATCTAGAGAGCTTTCCAGAGGAAGACTTGTATTACCTTTCAGAAGGTATCAAAAACCAGATATTTTTATGTTTTGATGATTTTTTCATTGTTATTCACATGTTTTTCTCTGTCAATTTACTGAAGCACACACCAATCCAGAATCTTTTAATATTTCTGTTACAGAATTTTGACTATAAAATGAGAGAGTTTTTAATATCAACAAGCATACTCAAGGAGCTATTTTTTATCGAAGGGGGCAGTACAACGTTCCATTTCAAGCTATTGAAAATACTTCTGGACTCAGACAATCCAATGTTTACTTTATTTTTGGGTAGCTTGAATCTAAAGATTAATATTTCAGAGCCTATTGGATGTCAAAAATATTTCAAGCCCTGGTACAACAGCTTGAGAGAAGAAAAGAGGCTTATAAAAATTTGTTTCATCCAATAAGACAGCCTACTAATTAACTGATAGACGCTGTGAAATTGTTGTGATAGCTCCCCGGTATTGAAGAGGCTAATCTGATACTTTAAGCTGCAATATTAAAAACTGTGTTCAAGCTACTATTTGAAGCATAAGATAAGTAAAACTAAACACAGCATTAAGCACAAATTAGTCATGTCTTTTACTCTTTACTATTAAATTAACTTCATTTTAGTAATGGTAACCAGTTGAGCTTCATGAGGGTAAGCCCAATCATTATCGCAACACTAAGACATATCACAATACCAGAGCCGACTGTCATAATGTTCAGCTTGGAAGATGCACATATCACAAATAGTGCAGGAAACAAGAACGATAGTGGAGTTGTCAGTAAGAATCCTGCAATAGAAAATACAGATCCCAAGTTCTCAACTGGCTTAACTGAGCCAACAAAGAGAAATGCGCATGCTAAGAATGCAATGGTTGAGCGAGAAGCAGGTTTGCCCTTGATTGAGAGCCAGTTCTGCAAAATAGGAGTGATGGAAAACATATTGAATATGTTGCCGCTAAAGAATATTGGACAGAACATACTGTGAAGAAGCTTTGGAAGGTAGCCTCCAAGGTATATGCCATACCTCTCGGTCAGGTCCTTAACAATTGAAGATGAGGAGGAGGCAAAATGGAAAATAACAGGATCATTTCCAACAGCAGCACCAACAGCTTTGAAACCTAAAAATCCAACAGATCCATACAGAACAGTAGCGAAAATGGAAGCGATAGCCGTAACATTCCTAACATTCTCGAGTGAAGTATCCTTCATTGAGTTGAAGATATCCAAATATGAAAACTGACAGTGTAAGGCAAATATGACAGCACCAAGGGGATCAACCAAGTTTAATCCGCTTTCAGACGCGGGAAGAGACATCTGGTCATTAGAAACGGGATTGAATAATCCATAGAGGGATATTACAGCACTAAAGAAGATGGCCGTAAAGAGACTAAACTGCGAGAAAAACGAGAGGGAAGCAAGGTTGTCAAGCTGGAACACATAGAAGTAAATAGAGCATATGATCAACAGAATCAGTGCTCTGGCTATATAGCAATTCACGGGATGAGCCTTCTCGTCAAGGAGGGTATTGAGATATTCATTATATCTCAGAGTATTTAAGAATATTCGGAGGAAGGTCTGAGTAAAGGAAAAGGAAGTAACTAAAGAGTTAACGACCAAAGACATCGAGACCATAGTTCTAAGCTTTTTAGAAAACTTTGCAGCAAGGTCGCTGTACGAGGTCTTTTCGTCTGATCTCTCCTTTGTTAGTGTAGAAACGTAACTCAAAGAGTATGTGGAGAAGAAAGTGAGCAGACCAACACTAAGCATCAGAAGAGTGGCAACGGTGTTTCCCCAAATAAAGATACACACCAATCATGAGCGTGATTCCACATCCAAGAGTGGATGACACGATTGATGCAACAGCACCAAAGTTTGACAGTTTCTTTGTGGACATTTTTCCGAGAGGGTGAAAAAATAAAATTTAACAAAAGAAAAATAAAAATTTGACTTAAAAGTTACTGTTTAAAAAGCAAACTATCCAGCATTGCCAAGCTTTCTGAAAAATAGAAACGAAATTTTCTATTTATGCAAAAATTTTTCAGATGTCGTTGCACTATGAATGAGTGTTTCGATGCCATAACCAGGCTATCACCAGTGCGTATATGCTTTCCAAGATGCGTTGGAATTATGCACAGTTGCCATCCATCGATCGAATTATTAGGTGTTTAAAAGACGGCATAGTTTAAGGAGAAGACGCAATGCATAGAATTTCATTTTCAGAAATGCAAAACCCAGTGGCAGAGTCGAAAAACGAAATATCGAGTATTTTGATAGGACCATGCAGTGGTTGGATATTTTCTAAAAATGCATGAACAAAAAGCACATTTGTAATAAAATGTATAAAACTAGCTAGATAATTTACGAATGGTTTAATTTAATATTTGTGTATCTTGTCTGATCATGCTTCAGATTCTCCGTCTTCATGGCCAAGGAATGGCAAAAACAGTGTATTCAGCTCTTTTATATACTCGTGCTCCTCAGAAGGACCACATGACACCTCTACAAACCAAACAATTTCATTTTCTTTTCTCACTCCAGCAATCTTGGTCTTGCCCAGTATTTCGATATAAGAATAGGCACTGTCGTCTGCTGCAACCAAAATCTTACTTAGTTTGTCAGTACTCATGGCCTCCAACGGAAACCTTAAAAACTCAAGAACATCTTCTTTGAGCTTCCCAATCCTGATAACTCGGAGATTCGGGTCTTCTTCAATGATTTTATTAAACTGCTCATCATTAATGGGCTCTTCTAGCTCTATTACGGTCTCATCTACTTCATCTGGCCCGGCAGCCTCTTTGCCATTTTTTTCTATGCTACTCTCCCCAAGAATGTCTATATCGAATATGCATGAATAGTTTTTATTTACCTCTTGATACTTTCCAAAGAACTCCTCAGGATCCGAAAATACCTCGACGTAGTTTTCTGAACTTGTCATGTATATTTTAACCTTACCCTCCCTTTGCCGTGTAATTAAAAAGTATGCCGGCGCTCTAATCACTATAAAATCCAACCCATCGCTCTTCTTGAAGTTATCTATAAAATTTTCCAGCGTCATTTCATGATTTTCGCACTCTATGGCCAAGTCCTCCACCATGAGCCTATCGTCGGAGTCTTTTTTACAAAGAACAAGCTGATCTTCAAACATGGAGCCGATCATCACCACAAGAGGGTAGTGGGAACAGGAAAAGCTTGTAAGAAGTGTGGCTCTGCTCTTTGAAGAGGCCATGTTCTTTCTGTACGAGGCAAATTTAAATGGAAAGCTGGAAGAAGTGAACATCTGGGGAAAAAAATAAAAAACTTTAAATCAGCAAATGCTACACAAATACATCCAAAACAACGCTTGGAGTTAATGAAAGTTGCATAGCCATTGATATTTTCATACACTTTATAAAAGGATCGTTGAAGCTTGCACGAGGAAAAGATCGGTGCTATTTTCTACAAAATGGCAAACCTTAGAACTCATGCTACAATACCATGAATCTCCTTTTTTGAATAGCACTTTAAATAGGAATATGCAAAGATATCTAAAAAGTTCCTAGCAAGCTATACAGGTTTTGATCGTTCTTGCCACTACTCCAATTATATGAAAGAAAGCTAAGTTTAAATAAAACAGCAATTTACTCATGTCCTGCATATTCTGTCTCCTCTTAGTGCAAATCCTTCGTCAACAAATCTTGGGCTGCTGTAAAACCTGTCGTTTACGCTAAGCCCATTATTTGAACATCTGGCTTCAAATTCAATCTTTTTGATATTCTCAGTTCCAACAGCTGCAAGCCTTTCTGCAACCATTTGCTTCAACAAAAATATCATCAAATCATCACCATTCTCCTCGAAGTATCTACTGAACTTCTTCTTCAGCTGCTTACTTACAGAATACCTCTGGGCATTCAGGAATGACTCAAGTGTCAGAGAAATGGCTCTATCAATGTCACCCCTTGAAACAGAGTTTGAAAGACGTAGCTTGGCGAATCCTTCGCTTATTCTAATGATAGATTCAATATGCCTGACAGTTATGGGGATTCCTGAATTTAAGCTTTCCTTTCTCAAGTCAGCATAAAGATGACTAATCTTTTTAATATCAATTGTAGAGATGGCTGGCTCAATGTTATTCCTAGCATACAAAATATACTTCTTAAGTAGCTCTTGTGACATCTTACCATTGGATCGCAGAGTATTTGTCGGAGCTGATTTGCCAGCACTGTGAGAATTGAGAATAAACTCAGCCATTTTTGTGTCTTCGGTCTTATCTATTGTGTCTTTAACCACACAGAGCAGATCGAACCTGGAGATGATTGGATCTGAAAGATTAATATTTTGGGCAAATGATATCGCCGGATTGTACTTGCCCCTGACTGGATTGGCCGCTGCAATTACCGAGCATCTGGCATGGAGAGTAGCCACTATCCCAGCCTTAGAAATGCTAATAGATTGCTGTTCCATGGCTTCATGAATACTCGTCCTGTCAGTATCATTCATTTTATCAAACTCATCAATCAGACAGACGCCTCGATCAGCCAGAACCAATGCACCACCTTCCAATGTCCATTCCTTGGTTACTGGATCTTTTTGTACACTTGCTGTGAGTCCTACTGCAGAAGATCCCTGACCAGTTGAAATTACAGCACGATAACTGGTCTTTTCCACGTATCTCAAGAACTGGGACTTGGCAGTGCCTGGATCTCCCATGAGAAGCACATTGATATCTCCCCTAATTCTCATTCCATTTTTCTCCTTAGACTGGCCGCCCACCATAGCTAGAAGTATTGCTGTTTTTATGTCTCGATGCCCATAGATAGATGGCGCAATGTTGTCAATCAAAATATCGATAACACTGGGGTTCCGCGCAATCTCCCTTATTTCTTTTATATCCTCCTCTGTCATTTCCAGCTTTGTAATCTTCTTCTTAATACTCGATGCTTCAATCATTGTAGAAAACACCGGAAATCCATTTTTAATGTTCAAGCTTATTGAAAAATTATTTTGATATACCCCAACAATATCTATTTCATCTCCTGGTTTGCAGCAATCTATAAGATCAAAGTACAATAGTACCTCCTTAGACCTTGGAAGAGAGCCAGAGGGGACTGTTCCGGGTATCTCCTGAACGTTAATTTTCTGAAAGTCCTTGTAGACGGTTTCGTTGGTGTTAATAATAAACGGTCCTGAGCATTGACACTCAAAACATGCTGTAGGCTTAATATCTTGTCCTACAAAAGGCCCAAACGTAGCCTTACATTTGGTACAGGTAAACTTAACAATTGAGTATAAAGAAAACACGCCCGATCTCCTCGTAACTACGCCATTGATTCTTATCAGCTTATTCAAATGAGCGTTTCTAAGATCTCTGATCTTTTCAATTATCGGTAGATTCACAATCCTTCCATGAATGATTGGCTTAATTAAATGGTAATTTGGAAAATATCCACGAGTTACCTTACCAAGAGCATCTCCAAGCACTTTAATGAAGTTTACAGGGTCTTTTTCAAGGCTATCATGGAACGGTCTTAAGTCTTCGAACTCAATTTCAATCGATTCAAAATTGAGAGAACACATAGCTTTTATAGCTTTGATGTACTTTTCAGACTTTCCGAGGAATTCTACAAGCAAATTTGACAGCTCTAGTTGGAAAACAGTCGATGTTAGAAGCGGAGGAACGGTCACTTCGATATTTGGCTGAGTAGGCACATCATCATCAAAGTCTTCCTCTTTCGCAGTTCCAAAGTCTTCTAAATCAACAGAACTAGCCACTATATCTTCAACAAAGCTTGAATTGATGGTTGTTTCTGATTCCTGGATATGTTCACTCATCTCCTCAGATTCTTCTAATCTTCTCTTTGCCATCGGGGAGGAATCCAGAATATGACAAAATTTACAGAATGATGAAAAATAATCAAGCCAATGGCTATTGGGCAGAATAAAAGAGCGGGACGACATGGATATTTTCCAAGCATTTGATCTGAGCAATTGAGGAAGATATTCAGCATATACCTAAATGGAAAGTAGTAATTTAGATATTAAAACACGAATTTTATTGCATGAAAATGGCAAGCCGTGAGAATATTAGGGAATGCGGCATAAAATGATCTGTGTATCTTTACTACCTAATTTTAATAGAGCACTCTGTAGAGCGATGTTTACTAAGTAAATGCAGCTTTCTTCCTATGTTTTGGGTAGTCTTCTGCTTTCAAAACGAAACTGTTTCATCTTTTATTATTTTTGGAATTCTCGCATTCCCAAGCTATGCAGGACTCGTCGTATTCAAAGAAAATTGCTCTATTTTGGAAGAATGCATTCAGCAGGGCTTCATCACACAGTGCCCGCAACAGATCCTTCAAGCTTCCACTGGCCAGAATCAAAAGACTCATGAAGGTAGAGGAGGATGTTAAAATGGTGGCTGCGGAGGTCCCTATTCTTTTTTCACTCATAACGGAAGTGTTTATCCAGGAACTGACTGTCCGTGCATGGATGAGCACAGAAGACGGGAGAAGGAAGATTCTGCAGTCAAACGATATTAACTTTGCAGTCAAGACATCCTCGATGTACGACTTCCTGACCTACATTGTTCCCAGCAACGGCTATGTCAGCAGTAGCTATGGCGGCGATAAAGAACAGTATGTGCCGCATGCCTTTCTAGAAAAGTATCCATTCCAGGAAACATTGGCACATGAAAACACTGCGTTACAGCAGAATCAGATCTTTGAGGACGGCATACATGAGAATAATCAACAATGATTGCAGCTTGATGCATTTGTAATAAATACACAACATTTGAAAAATTTCTATCTGTTTATAGATGAAGCCATTTATGCTAAAATTTCTAAAAAATTTGTATCCATGGCGGAGCTTTCTAAAAAATCCAAAGAGGAAAAGATCGAGGGTGTCCGAAAAATCCAAGCATATTTAAGCAAGTACAGCACGGTCGTAGTCGTAGAAAACACAGACATAAAAACACAATGCATACAAAGGCTTCGATCTTTATTGAGGGGCAAAGTTATATTTGCTAAAAAATCTCTTCTTCAAAAGAACTATCCGCAGCTGAGCTTTGAGAAAAGCTTCTTTTTGATTTTCATAGATGGCTCTGAGCTTGAAAAGGTTATCTCATTCAAGTGCAATACATTTATAAAAGCGGGTGAGGTTTCCCCTGTGGATTTTGTTATATCCGCAGGTATAGTTAAAAATCCAAAACTGGCTTCTATTTTAATGCCGATTGAAAAGAGAGGATCTATGTTTCATTTGCTTGAGGACTACAAGGTTCTTTCTGAAGGGCAGCCAGCTGATGAAAAGGCTACTGAAATATTAAAAGCAAAAGACATTAGACCCATGGAAAGAAACCTGACAATTTTAGGACAGTTCGAATCCAAGGAACTGGCCAAAAACGAACAAGATCACAAAATAAACTGATATTATTAAATGCGTTATTGCTAATCTCGCTGTGACTAGCTTTAGATGGCCAATTGCACATCATATTAAATAATTTATTCTGATCCTTCGCCAACTAGTCATTCTATACGAAGTTAGCATTCTTTAAGTCATAGTCGTACTCATCCTTGGCTTTTGGTGGTAAAAAGTCCTGCTTTGTAACTTTAAGTCCATCTTGAAACATTTTACTGAAGGGCTTGCCCTTGAAATCTTTAATAAGATCCCTGACCATATTTTGGGCTGTTTTCTTATTGACCTTCAGGATTTGTTGCCTAATATCGCAGCATCTATTAATATCAACACTTAAAAGGCTGCTGAAGGCAACCGGTCCGTCCTCACGAAGCATACAGTCTGTAAGCAATCCTGAAATTAAGGGATGTGAATCAGAAACGCTGGGGTTATTATATGCACACATTAGATAATAGACTGCTTTATTGACGTTGTAAGGGCCTTTGTATGAGCTCAAGATAGAAATAACTTTGTTTAGAACGATACTGGAATCAATCTGAAGCAAGTCAAGGAGATTGTCTATGATGGGAACAGTGTCAATCTTGGCTGAAAATATGGTCAGAAGTGACTTGAGTGCCTGGTAATAATCTTTGTGATCCGAAATTGAGTTCCATTCTGTGACAAATCTTACAACTTCTTTTTCAATATACGGCTTTGGATTGTCTAAAGAGATTAAAAGATCGTTATTAAGGCAGCAGAGATCAATGTAGAGATACTTGTCCATTTTCTCATAGATATCCTGCAGAATAACCCCAGGAATGTCACCTATCTTTTCAATAATTGAGAAACACCTGTCAAATGGGGCATTTCTAAGAAAGAGGGAGTAGAAATAGTCTTTATATCTAGAGTATTCTCCTGGATTCTTTTTAAGATAATAAAAATACTTAATCACATCGTCCATGCTCCAGTTGCTACCAAAAGATTCGTGAATACCAAGCTTTAGATAGCAATCAACCTTGATTTCATTTGCATTCAGACACGAGTTTTCACACATTTTTAAAACATACATGAGTTGTTCGGATGTAAATGGATACTTTTCGAGGATCATCAAGCCCAGCTTTACATTCTCTTTATCTGTAAAATCCAGACCAAAGAGTAACGTGGGCGTGGAGGAGTCGTTCCTCAGAAAGTTAACAAGACAGTTTAGATAGGGGTTTTTAAAGCTTAAGGAAAGCAGCAGTGCACTGGAATTTTCTGCTTTTGCCAGTTTTTGAATGAAATGCGAGGAAATTCTGGTGGGCAGTAGGTCCCCGTTAATTTTTAAGAAATTCACAGTTTCAAAGGGAAAATTTTTGCAAATAATTGAAAAAAACCCGAAAATATGCTGATCAACCTCTTCTTTGGAGTCTTCATCAACATTAATGTAATTCTTGAGGGCCTCGGTCAAAACAGGCTCCAGCAAAGCGCCATTGGTTTTTGACGAAAAAACCTTTTGCCAAAAATCAATAGCCGAAACAAAACAATCCTGGCCTGAACCTAATGATCTAAATACATATTCATATATCTTATTTGGACTTTCTATTTTCTGTAGCTTTATGCTTCCTAAGGTTTGAATGAGGCCTTGATCTGCAGGTAGGAACTGAAGTATTTCGGTTATTTTATTCGGCTCTATGAATGGAAGGCCTTCGTTAATAAAAGAAATCGTCTCTTCCGGGCATTCAGCAGCCTTTTTGAAAACCAGGGAGAAATTGAAATTTTTTGGTAGAATCTTCAAAAGCTCGGTGAAAATTGGAATGATGAAGGAAGCAAACTTTTCATCAAAGCTGCTTTCCAGGTGGCTGTAAATAATAGAAATGGCCTTTTTAAGCTCAGTTCTACGTTTGTCATCGATAGTTGTATCGGCATTGACTTTTTCCAAGAACATTAATAAGATCTGATATCCTGTTTCGGTTGAGAGCATGGATATCACCGTATCTATGAAACTAGGCATTAGGGCTGGCCAACAGTATAGCCCAAGTAGGCAGTACACCTCGCATACCTGATACGATGGCTTCTTCAGCAGCAGTTGTGTGCAAAACTGAATCTCATCGTCCAAATCTAAATTCGCTGTTTTCCTGCGAATCCTCTTTTCTAAAATTTTGCACAGGAAAATGTGAACGGATGGGACTTTCGATGACTGAATTTCAAAAAGTGGTGCACAACTTTCATTTTGGACAAGAATTTCCACTTCCTTTTCAATTTCTTTTATTAGGCCGGAATTCGAAGGAAGATCCATTGCCAATCTTTCCAGTCTGTGCATTCAGGGGGATTAAAAATTTAGTTAAAATCTGAGCAAGCAGGAGTTTTTGCTTATGTAGTTGGCATTTCTACTATGTTTGCGCAACAATGGATCCTTTGCACATGACGAGTATATTTACCACTGATATGCAGCTTAATCGCTTAACTTCTAAGTGAATTACATAGATAAGGATGCATGCAATATTGCTTGGCACCATTAATTTCTAGTCTGATCATAAAGCGGATACGGTAATTTATACCACTTCATGGTACCACTTGTGCTCATTTGTTGCTTGTTTCACATTTATTGCCACCTTCATTATGATTGGTTAAGTAATAACGACAAAGGAGCTCTGAAACACTTATTGGTAAAAATCCAGTAGGAGCAAGGAGAATGAACAGCAATATTCTCTTTGAAATATCCAAGTATTTGGAAAGACCCACCGGAATTAGGGCGCTAGATCAGGCATATGAGAGTCCTGAAGTGCTGAAACAGTGTAGGCAAAATGTTTCGGAGTTTTTGAACAGAAAATTACAGACAAGACCAACGAAGAACGACTTGGAGAAGAAGAACATAATACGAAAGTACATTCTAGACTTTGACTATATCCACACAGTGCTTGAGTCGATAGATTTTAGAGAGAATGAACCAAAAATTTCACCGAGAATAGCCAATATTGCCAAGAAAATAGACTTTGACATCAAAAGAAAGATGATTATACGTAAACTTGGGCTCGATAGAAATCAGTAATATTAAAAGCAAATTTTATATAAACTCTATAAATTTAGTGTTAAATCCTTAGATTAAATTAACCAAAATTTCAGGCATGGCAGGTAGCATTGGCCTTAAATTTACCTCTTAAATATTATAAATAGTAAAAGTAGAACCACAACGGCAATGGCAATAACATATTTGTAATACTCCATCATAATTTTCCATTTGGTTCTGTACGCAGATTCTTGTAAGCTGCTTGTGTGCTGTTCTAAGGAGAATGTTGTCTGGCTAACTTGTTTGTTCAGTTCACTCAAATCTTCAGCCTCTTTCAGTCTATCTTTCAGTTTTTCCTGAAGGTCCTGTACTTCTTTGTCTATTTGCTCAGTAATGTCCACGTCGTTCATCTTTGTTTGTTATTGAATTTTAGATTTCGCAATGGGCAAATAAACATAATCAAATATTAAAATTCCTGATTCAATACTAAAATGTATTCCCAGATAGTTGCACACTCCGCTCAAAGCCTTACTTCCAACGCTAAATGCCACGCTTGTCCCCAATATACACTGTTTGTGTTAAGGAGTAAATCCTTATTTATCAGACGGGTTTTGTCCAACAGTTACTTTCTAGGACATCTGAGCATACTTTGCTCTTTGCAACATTATGGAAGTATGCCTAGGCTTCATGTCTGTATACCCTATAGATTGTAACTTATATCTTAGAATAAATAGGCCAGGACAGCAAATAAACCCTTTTATTTTATTAGCAATATTAAAATCACATCATAGTTACATGCATATCAGCCACGGCACCATCATTTTTAAATCATTGCTCACCGTTCAGTACTACTCTAGGTGTTTCAGTTAGGTTTCAAAGTTATTTACAAAATCCTAGCCTGTGCGCAGAAATGGCAAAGCAAACAACAAAAGAGAGATTACTAGTTAAATCAAGCATGAGATTAGTAGCAAAGCCAAGGAATACGTCAATAACGACCAACATCTTAGGATTCTTTTCAATGCTGATCATGGGTCTTTTGATTAACATGACGTTTGCTATATTTCTTGTGCTTAATCCTAAAAGAATTTGCAACGGAATACTTAGTATGCTACTAACACTCATACTTTTTGTTACTCTAAGACCGCTGCAGTTTCTAAAAAACTCAATGCCATCAGGATCAACTGTAGCTACGTATCTTATGTTTAAAGTGTCGACAAATATGGCTTCTGTACTAAGAATAATACTAGACAATGTAATACCTGTACTACTTCTATTTACGAGCACCTTTATGTGCCATGATTATTTGAGTGCATGCACATCTTTAATTATTCAAGGAATGATCCCACAGTCGGTAATTGACTTTATAGCAGAATATCTTGACATATATGTACTGGAGAAAATATTTGTATCTATTGGCATCGGCTTAGTATGTACGAGACAGAGATTGAGAGATCATCAAGATATAGTAGTCGTTGTTTCGGGAATATTGTTCATACTCACATTTGTTATAGTACAAATGTTTCACTCAAAGAGCTACACCAGGATAATAGAGAACATGCCCATGGCTGAATCAATGTCGACATCTCTTTTTTCAGTATATGCAATATTAGGTACATGCAGTGTGCTGTACTATGCCTCCATCAAACTTGTGGATTACGACCCTGCTGGACAGTTTTTTAAATACTTAAGAGACAAGATATCCTCATTAGCACCAGTAGTTGATCATATCTATCCACGGCCGGTTGCTGCTGGTGTGCAGCAGCCAGTAGCAAATCCACCGGTAGCGAATCAACCAGTAGTAAATCCACCAGCACCCCTTGTACTTCCTTCTGCTAGAATAAGACTGATAATAAGATGTCTTAGGTACCTGATCTTACTGGTAAATTATGGCATTCCACTATTTTTAACTGGGATAGTATCGTATTTCATATTACTTCCTAATATCATTGATATGTTCTTTGTATTTTCCATACTTCTGACAAAGAGCAAGTACCCTCACCTTCCAGCCATAGAAATCCCAACAGCCGTGGGCACGTTCAACATTCAGCTAATTTTTAAGCCGATATTACTGATTATGATACAGTCAGTTTCTATAAAATTGTACAATGTCCTCTACAACAAAAAAATTGAAGAGTATAACATAGAAACAAATAAAAAAAAGAAGTTAATAGAAGACAAAAGAAAAAATGCAAAAAAGGACCTCAATGCTCCAATAACAAGTCAAGAAATACAAGAGGTATCAACGATAGTAGATGAAATTTGGGGAACTTTTGTGCTAGGGTTTATACACCCAAACTATGTTATACCAGTACTGTTATTAATCCTATCAGTCCTTAACTTCAATAGTGTATTTCTCAGCATTAACATAATGGTTTTTTCTTTTGGGCTGTGCTGTATTGTGGCACCTTTGTTATACCTGGTTGGTATATTGCTTCGATATTCCCTTAAAGAGAAAAGTTTAATTAAACAAGCCATCATAATAGCTATCACTGTAGGCGTGACAGTGGGAATATTGTACCATACATACTTATTTTATCTATACTACGAACAATTCTCGAGTGGGCAAACAATGTAGTTATCAATGTATTTCAAGAACTTGAAAAACATCAAGCCCATGTCCAGAATGCTACATTTGCTGGACCTATAATGCAAAGTCCAAGCGCCAACCTCACAATAACAGCACCAAATTGAAGTGGCCATAATAAAACACAGCGCAATCAAAGCTGTCCAAGTGTCGATTCATTATAGAAATGTATTACGCCACCTAGACGGATATTGACTAATAAAGCCCTAAGAGATTTTTTGTAATAAAATTTTTGCCTTTGAGTTTTCAGGTTGATCCTTTTGAATATTTTTAAAAAACTCAATCACTCGAGAGATGTCAATGCTTTCACCTTCAATTTCAGCAAGGAGATTCAGAGCTTCGATAAATTTGTCGAGATCCTTCCGATTCTTAACCGTAATCGAAGGGATGTTATTTTTGCAGTAGTTTTCAAAGCAATCTTCAAAGTCCTTCACAAAGCCAGTTTTTCTTTTGTTGTCGTTAATTTCCTGCTTGATTTCTAATACTTCGCAACAAAGTTCAAATAGTAAAAATAACTGCCTTGTCTGTAAAGAAGATCAAAGTAATAGAAGAAGTCAAGCAAAAGTTGTCTTGAGAAAGACAATTCGTAAAGTTCGAGAAGAAAGCTGATTTCCCTGGACTCAAATCTGCATCTCAGTGACTTTAGAAAGCCGATCAGTGAGGAAAGACCAGCATATCTCTTTGGATCTGCCAGAATATCCGACTTTCTGATATGGTCATTGATTAAAGCAGTTTTAAACTGGTCCATGGGAACAACAAAGGTTGAAGCTTCATAATTCTTCAATTTAAACAAGCCATCGTTTTCGCTTGTTCTTAGATAATTGCTACTGGCTGCCTTTAAACAGCCATCTTTAATCTGCGTTTTGTCATCGCCGGTGTCTTCATGGTGTGCATAGCATTGATCGTAATGTTGATTAACTTTCTCCATAAAACTCCTAAAGTCCTCTCTTTTTACAAAATGTGAAACAAAAATCTCATCGTATAGGTGTAAAAGTGATAGAAATAGACTCCTTCTAATATACGTCTTTATCCTTCTTCCCTCCTCTACTGGCATACAACCATCCAGAATGTCAATTAGCTCAGATCCAACCATACTCTTTTGGTTCGCATTTCCTACGGTAGCATGCTCTGTATTTAATATGCCCATGCTACACTCTGAGCCATTTCCGCCAGATATTTTACTGCCCTCAGCCCCCATACCTTTCTTTGTACTAGAGTCTGTCATGAAGAAGGGTGCGTTTTAAGCATTGTTTGCACAGTCTCAATTATTTGATTTAGGGAATAAAATTGCATGCCAATGTTGATTGACCATATTGCTAAAGGCGCAAATTTATACTCGCAAGAGCAGGCCATGATGCATTTCCATTTCATTTAAAAGATTTTGAGGTGGTCGTTATAATACACAGCATTTATTGAAACTGCCAAGAGCCTCGAAAATTGCTTTCTTTTTCTCTTAGACCCACTGATTGAAACCCATCACAATAACTTGTTTGCATAATGTTTCTCCTAACTCTTATAGTGATACTGAATACAAGTGCCTATATTTAATTAAATGCACATTGCTTGTTATCTACAACTACTGGCTTTCTTTGCATGCTATCCATCTGCACCAGCCAATTCATTTGGTACTTATCCGACAGGAGTCACATATTTCGTTAATGATTTGCTGAATTTTGCCGATTTTACTATTGAGAATAGCATCGGAGAAGAGTCTGGTCTCAACTGTTTGATACAAAAAACTCCTAATCTCGTGGTTTTGAATGTATTTCAATAAAAACGAAATAGTCTCGGGATTGACAGGTGTAATCAAAGTAAAACTGCTGCCATTCCGGACTATCTTCTTTGAACTCTTCATCAGTCTCTGATAGATTGAAGAATTTTCATCATATACTTTAGTATAATCAAAGGTGTCAGCTATGAAATTAATATCAAACTGGTCGCTCTTCTCGGGCTCAAATGAGTATCTGTCCAAAAAATTTCTCAGCACTCCTCTCAAGGCATTCATGCACCCACTTAAATCAAAAATGAAATTGGCTTCGGATTTTTTCTTACCGAAGAAGTCTTCTTGATCGACCTTAACAAACATAGCTGATGACTTGTTAATAATAAACGACATATTATCTATAATGCACTCAACAGCCTTGGCTATTTTTACACACAGGACCTCCAGCATGGATATTCTATTTCCACCCTGCTGTACGTTAATAGGATCTTCATCGTTAATACTCTTACTTGTGACTAATATTATGTCTTCAAATAGCCTAAAAACTTCTTTTTGAAAATGCTTAAGGCAGTAATCATCAAATTTCGAAATGGATTGTAGATCAACAACAACATTGTAGAAATGACTATTTTCAATCTCATTTCTAACGATAAAATCCAGTAATTTCTTATTGATTTCATCTGAAAACTGCTGGTAGCTTCGTAGTATTATTTTATAATATTCGAAAACACCTTTGATTTGGAATAGTCTGGGATCTCCTAGAACACTCAAAGCCTTTACAATCAGTTCAGACTTTCGTGTGGGATCCTGGCTGACTAGAAAGCTTTTATATAGGTTCCTAGCATCCGCAATCATGGCACATATTTCGTATTTTGCCTTTATTTCTTGGTTTTCCAGATCAGCTGCCAGTACATTCTCGTTGGATGGCAAAACTTCAATAATGTGTAGGGATGCAAGCTTGTTTTCCACATCACAATAGGTATTTAAAATGGTGTTGTTCATTTGTTTGTAATCGCTGAATGTTTGGAATGCTTCGCTAAACCCTTGGAAGTTTGAGGAGATTATCTTATCCATTGTTTGTTCTAACCTGTGGAGCATTCCGTGAAACTCCCTGTGCTTGCTGGGATTCGAAGATACTCTTAGGGCCATTTGTAACGGATTGAAGTTCTCGTGTAGTGTTTGATCCCAGTCTACCTTCAGTTCTTTTAAAATGTTTTTCCCCTCTTCCATGGGGTTTACAAACTTATGCCTTTTAGCACAACTATAAAAATACTGGAAAACATATGTGAAGTAGACAAACTGACCAGATACGCACTATGTTACTTGCAAGCCTTTATGCTAAGTTCCTACGACATAATTACAGAAGACAAATTTTTGATGAGCGATATTTAACTAGCTTTAGCTATATGACACATCAGCTTATATTGGGAATATGCATATTATGAAGAACACATTTATTATTAAATAGCAATAAACAGAAGTGGTACCAGAAAAAAATGATAAAGCCAACCTCCGTCTCTACGACGGATCAAATAAAGCTTCAAGCGCTGCATAGTTCAATTTAGAAGATACCTTCTTATCCAAGCTTAGAAATGCTTCCTCAACCGTATTAAATCCATGCCTCTTTGAATGCCTTCTGACACTTTCTTTGCGCAACTTCCTCTTCTCCTGAGCTTCTTTTAGGTATTCCCCATACATCTGGTCCCAGATCACAGCCTTGGTCTTGGCCTCATCCTCATTCAGCAAAAAATCATCAAAGTCAAATGTCTCGGCATCCTTCATCTCGACACTGTCGTCCTCAAACGTGGTTATTGGTGTGTCAAAATGAGTCTCTTCGATTCTTTCCTCAGACACTTCCGCCTGCAAGGCTTTTTTAAATACTGGTGGATTCTCCTCCTTGCTAATCCAAACATCCATAAATTGATCAATCTGCAGTTCTGCACTCTCAGTGTCCCGCATCTCTTCTAATCGCTTGTTTATTGTTGCAATGGAGGCATGGACTGCCCTGGCCACCTCTGCAATGTCTCGTTCTTCGTTAAAAATCCTGGAGGCTATCAGAAGGGCAGCACCGCAGGAATTGTTTGGTCTTCTTCCTTCCAAAATCCAATCCTTTTTCATCCTGCTTACAAGTAAAGTACTGAAGTTGAGAATTTCTTTGTTTTTGAACTTCAACTGTGAGCAGAACCGGTGCATATAGAGAGAAGGATCAATAAGGGGAATATCTATGCCCAGTAGCTGTCTTATCTTCAAGAACACCTTTCCAATTTTAAATAAATCGATTCTTAGCTCATTTGAAAAGTCAATAAGGAGATGAGGAGTAGACTCCTGCCTGCAAGTGATGTAGACACATGCACTAAGAGTGTAAAGAATGGACTTGCCTTTGCTTAGCGAATATTGAAGGCACAGCTTGTACCATCTGAATGCGCACTCAGCATGGTCGTTTCCCAAGCTAAGCTTGAGACAGATGCTCTTCAATGTGTTTTTTATATAGTAGCTTGAGTCTATGAACTGTGTACCGATATTTGTATTTTCAACATTTACAATTTTACCGTAGAGGACTGTTTTGGAAGTTGTAGAGTCGAACTGTAGAGCACTTACAACCGTGTTTTCTTCATGAACCATCCCACATTCTCCACAGTAGACTGATCCTCTAGCAGCGTCTGTATGAAAATCTAAAGATCCGCAGTTGGAGCATTTCGCCATTCAAGGGGTAAAAAAGATGGTTGGAAATGTGAAAATGAAAGTAAAGAAAATGCAAACAGCAGGCATTGCAAAAACTTCAAAGACTGTTTATTCAAAGCTCACCTGGAGCCAAAACACTGAATATTAAAAGCCAAAGCTCTATAGTATTGATTAATGAATGGGCTGAAGATTGGATCATTATTCAAAATTTTTGTAAAAAATTTTGAGCTAACCTCATGATCTTTAAAAGCCGGGTCGACAACAGTGAATATCACTTCCAAGTACTAAACAATGGAATCAGAGCGTTGATCATACGAAACGACATATTCACTAAGGCAAGCTGCGCCCTCTCAGTCGGTGTTGGATCTTTCGACGAGCCAGATGATATTCCAGGACTAGCTCATTTTTTGGAGCATATGCTCTTCATGGGAACCGAGAAGTATCCAGGTGAAAACATGTTCTTTGAGTTTATAAGCCAGCACAATGGGTATAGCAATGCTTTTACCTGTGACGAGCACACTACTTACTATTGCGATGTTGACTCCGCTTATCTAGAGCAGATGGCTGACATGTTTTCACAGTTTTTTATTTCTCCACTTTTCAAGAAAGATACTGTTGAAAGAGAAATAAGCGCAGTAGACTCTGAATATTTAAATTCACTTAATAGCGAAGGATTCAGGATGGGAGCACTGTGCAGTGAACTAGTCAAGGAGGGTCGAGTTGAAGGAAGATTTAGCTGTGGAAATGCAGAAACACTTAGACAGAAAAATATTCTTGAAGCAGTTGTTAATTTCTGGAAAACGAAGTACTCCAGTAATTTGATGAGTCTGATTATTTGTGGGTCGGAAAGCTTGGAAAAACTCAAGGAAATATCTGTGCTTTTTGAAGCTATTCCAAACCTTAGTATTATCAAGAAAGTCGATGAAGCTTCAAGCAATTGTTCTCTCGCGGTAGATCTATTCAAATCTGAAGTTCTTTCAAAAATAGTTCATTTCAAGCCCCTGTGTGACAAAAAGGAATTAACAGTCATTACAATGCTTTCACCTCTACGTGAGCATTTCAAGCTTAACCCTCTTGGATACATCAAACATCTCTTCACCAGGAAAGAGCCTAATGGTCTTCTTTCGAGACTCAAAAATGAGCAATTATCATTTGATGTATGCTTTGAGTATACTTACTACAACAATTATACCGAAGTCAAAATGGATATTAGTCTTACAGACAAAGGGTTTAAGCATCATTGTAGAATCCTGAGCATTGTCCACGAGTTTCTCTCAAATTTAACAGTGGACGAAGATGAGTATGCACGATTGGGTAGATTGCTGAGCGAAGAGTTTGATTTTAAGCAGATTGATACCCCAATTAAAATAGCAGAGTGTGTAAGCACTGATATCTTGTACTATCCCATCGAATATGTACTAAAGTATGCCTATATTTCTGAAAGGTTCGATAGCAACTTGATCAATAGCTGCATTGCTAATATTTCCAACAGAAACAACTGGGTAATTCTACTTTCTGATCCAAACGGGTCCTTTGACTCTAAAGACAAGTACTATGGAGTGGAGTATATGGTGCATGAACCTAATAATCATCCCAGCGGGGAAAGCTTAGACAGCAGTGTACCAAACACTAAGGTTTCTAATGACAGTCTTGTAGCTAATTTCCTTGAAAATATTGAAGTTATTGAGTCGGGAAATAGATTTTTGAAGAGGAAAAAATATGAAAATGGAGAGGTAAACCTTGTTTTTGACAGCAAGTTCAAGGTTCCAAAGGCTGAATTAAGCATCATTTTCTCATCTGAAGAGATCAGAAATGACCCTCTGGCATATGAAGTTTGTTTTTCAATACTTGCAGACATGTTCAATGAGAAGTTTGACAGACAGTTGGCGAATGCACATGTTACACTATCAACAACTATTGGCATACATGGTGTCATGGTCAAACTTGAAGGATTTTCAACTAAAATGGTCTCCATGGCCAAAATGTTCTTTAAAACTTTATTTGATTCAAACGAAACAAGTACAAAAGATGCTTTAATCTCAGACGATAGGTTTGAGGTTGTCAGACAGGAAATTCAGAATCGGTACTCAAGCATAATTGTTAAAAGCCCATTTAAAAGACTGTTTGAGGTGTTCTCTAACAGAGTGACTTCATCAAAGTCTACTGAAGAGCTTTTTAGAGCAAATTAAAAAGTTGGGAAAGGATCAAGTAAAATTTGTTGAAAATTTTTACTGCACAATTCTATCCGTTGGAAATACGAAATTTGAAGATCTGGAAAACTTATTCAATTTTATCGGCAGTAATTCTAGGAAACCATTGATCAATATTGATTCGTCTGTAAACACAGTTGAATTTAAGACGCTTGACAAATTCAATACTGGAGTTTGCATGTTTTACAGAATTAATGGCCAGAGAAGTGAAGTTGATTTCAAGGACCACGAAGAGTTAGAGACGGTCCCTACCAATTCTGAGGTAAGCGTCTATGATTACAATACCGCTATTGGTAGACTGATCCAACAGATTGCCCATGAAAGATTTTTCCATGAGCTTCGTACAACCGAGGAGCTGGGATATGTTGTATACTGTGCTGTAAAACATATTCTCTCATCTGAATATTTGGTGTTTGTTGTTCAGAGTGAAAAGTCTATTGATTTTCTTGAGCAAAGAATTCTTAAGTTTGTGATTGACCTGAAGACCCATATTTCTGAAATGGACAGCGAAGAATTTGAAAGCCACAAAGAGAGTCTTATTGGGTTTTATGAGGAGCCGATTGTCAATCTCGAAGACTTGAGTACAGCAATTACCAATCAGCTAACTAAGGGAAATATTGATCTGAATTATGACAGAAAGATGGTTGAGATAGTCAAAAAATTGACAAAGCAGAACATTGGTGACTCAGATATTCTTAACGAGTATGTAAGAGTCAATTCGATCAAACACCAGTAAGTAAATCTTATTTTTAATTTAATATCAATCTCTATGTGCATCCAATTGTGTTCCATGCTGCCAATGCTTTGGCAATCAATTAAATGATAGTTGAAACATATGTTACCAATCATTCATGTTGAGGTTCATTTGATGCCAATGGAAGGCTGGCAATATGCAAACTGAAAGCACCACAGACAACCATTCCAAGCACTGTCTGCACAACGTTGGAGTAAAACACAGGCTTTCTCTTTCATTTTCTGAAGATATCAATTTTGAAAAATTTCAAATCTTCAACATTCCGCTAAAAACAACGTACATTGCAGTGTATAAGAATACTCTCCTTGCCAAGTGCAGCAATACACTTAAAATCTTCTCGTTTGATTCAAACATGACACTTAGACTACTGCAGTCCCATAGTATGTGTTTTACGTCGTATATCTCTCAATACCTGCCTGAATCTGCACTAACATTGTCGTACAAAATCATGTTAAACCTACTAAATGACGGAATTTCGTTCAAAAAAGCCGAAGAGTGTCTGTGCAGACTAATGGACGAGTTAGAATTTGACAAAATTGCAAAGACACAAATTTCTAGCAACGGTGTTTTAATCACCTACAAGGGTGGCAACAGGAGATATTTTAACTCTGAAATGGATGAAGTATCAGAAAATGCTCGAGTGCTGCCTGCCAATAATATTTCAGTTAAAGTATCTAAAAATGATATCGAAGTTAGAACGAATTGCGAAACTGTAATCAAGAGGAGCTTTGGACGAGCATTAAAGACTTTATCTGACGAAAACTTAGTGTTTCTACTAAAAGAAGATTCTTTAATTGCAATAGTGTTTGATATCAATCAATAAATGCATATTGTATTCGCTAAGTATTGTGCACACGCCAGAGCACACAGGTGATGGCCTATTTTATGTTTTTGCTTTCGCGACACTGTTTGTCTTCATTATACTCATGTCGCCTATTGTTAATAATCGGTAATATTCTCTTGTAATATTTTACAAGCATGCTAGTGTGTGCATGTGGCAGTTTACTCTACACATAACTTAAATAATTTTACATGCACAATCATGCTTCATTTATAAAAACAGAAGGCCTCTCTCCGCAATGATCGACTGGTATGAGCCCGGAGAAGACTCGTACACTATGCATGATATTCTAAAACAAGAAAATATTACGGAGAAAGTCGTCGTAGATTTAGGATGCTCTACTGGATTCCTAACCGATCTCTCTGCTCCTCTAATTTTGTTGTTTCAATAGATTTGAACACAAAAGCACTGCTGCAAATGAAAGAAAAGAATGCCATACGGACTGATCTTTTAAGAGGAATCAACCAGGATAAGATTGATGTCGTTGTATTTAATCCTCCGTACGTTCCTGATTTCGACTGTCCCATCGTCGGTGGAGGTGTGAATGGAAGGGAAGTCATTGATAGATTTGTAAATGAAATAGCTGTCAATGTATTTTACTTACTTGTAATAGAGGCCAATAAGCCGTTAGAGATATTGGAAAATATTAGAGGAAAAGGATACGAGGTCGATGTACTGAAGGTTAGGAAAATAGTAGGAGAAACACTGATAATACTCAGAGCAGCTAAATAAATGGATACGTGCATAGTGTAAGTTTATGTTAGTTATTTGTACGACAGATATCAAAGGATGTACTTTTAACTAAAGATGTCTCTTGCCCTGTAAGCTTCAATGGACCTATACTTTGAGATCAAAAAACAACGAGACAAATTAGAGGCACCGGTGGACAGCATGGGCAGTTCATGTGTGGGCCATGCATATCCCAAGGATATCAAAAACTTTCAAATACTTGTATTCCTTCTTCTCTCCTCCCAAACAAAAGATGAAATAACATACTCTGCCATTGAATCTTTGAATGGAACATTGGGGATACTTACCCCGGAAAATGTGCTGAACTCAAGAGAAGAGGATGTGTCAAAATGTCTTAAGAAGGTAGGGTTTCACAATAAAAAACTGAAGTTTCTGTATGAAATCAGTCGAAAAGTGAAAGATAAAATGCCAGAAACCTTCGAAGAGCTTCTGAAACTTCCTGGCGTGGGAAAGAAGATGGCAAATCTGTATTTGAACCATGCGCTAGGTAGAAATGAAGGAATATCAGTAGACACACATGTTCATAGAGTCTCAAATAGAATAGGATTGGTGTGTACAAAGGATCCGGAGCATACAAGAAGGGCCCTAGAGAGCATATTCGACCGAGATGAGTGGCCCGAAGTGAACCGGGTGTTCGTGGGGTTTGGGCAGATGATCTGCAAGGCAATTAAGCCTAAGTGTGGGGAGTGTAGTGTGCAGGATAGATGTCCGTACTATAATATGGTAATCGCATCAAAGAATAACAAAGTCAATAGCAAGGTAAATGGCAGTAATACTTCAAGCTAAACAAGGAAGCCGTTCATAAATTATTAACTTTTTATTAAGTTGACTACTTCTTTTGCTCCTCTAATTTTCTTTGATACTCAGCATTCAATGTCTCAAGCGCCTGCTCAAACCTCTTCTTTAAAATAGGATTGACAGCCCTGTCGAACTGTTCTTGTTTTTCCTTGATTTTCTGTTCAAGCTCCAAAATCTCTGGCGATTTTAAAAGTTCACTTTTCGAGTCGTTTAGTTTGGCATGCTGTTCAGGCTTGGTGGGAGACTCGTCTATATTGGCTGGCTCAACTGACCTCATGGACTTATCTCGAATAATACCACTTGGTTTGACTTGCTGCTCGAATACCCCTTTGGAATGCTCTGATGTTCCAGTACCTTCTGCTTCTCTTCCATTTCCAGCCACTTCCAAAGCATTCTCCTCTGTTCTCGCTTGGGCTTTTGGGACTTCTGCAGCAGTGCTTTTAAAACTTATAAGCTCACTTTCAATTTCGGCTGCTAGCATATCAATGTCAGCCTCCGTACTATCCTTTTCGCTCATAGCAACCTCAACCTTAAGCGCTTTGGAGTCTGCCTTGAGCAACTCGGCGACCTTTCTTTCAATCCTCTCTACATCTTCTGTTCGGACTGCAGTCTTAGCAAACCTTCTCTCTCTTGCATAATACATCGGAGGTGTTAATCCTGATGATTCATACTTGCATATCTCGTCATCTACGTTGAAATTGCTGTCCTCATACACCACAACAAGGGCGGATATATCTGCTATTTTATACAGTTTGTTGTCCACCACTTTCTGACTCTCAACAATTGTAGGAAGTTTGCATATTATTCCAGGATATGTTCTAGCTCCCACCATGAAGTTAACCTCCTTCTGAGATGTTTTAACCAGTTTGCAATCCTTTGGGTTAACATTTCTGAGTGTTTCTGGTAGTCTTAGGATGAATTCCTGCTCCATTTATAACACCCTTCTTTTAGAAAGGTGGCTTGAATGAAAGCTTTTCAGAGGGGAAATAAGATAGTGTTTTCAAAGAACGAAAACTACAAGGAAATGGAAAGAGCGATACAGCTTTTGAGTGAAGAGTTTGAAAGATTAAAGAACATCTGTGAGGATAGAGCAACAGAGACGTTTCCCGCGGAGGTGATTAAAAGGATAGTAGAGAAGGGAAATGAGCTGAGGGAAATGGGAAAGGACATTGAGATTCCTGAGGATTATATGAGGTTTATGATTGAGGAAAAGAATGTTTTAAGGTACTTCGAAGGAATAGTACAAAAGGCAGAGAAGGAAGTGTGTAAGTATGAGGAAAAGACCGAGCGCTTAAGAAAGTTTGCAGAGATGCTTGATAATTGACATCAAGTGTTTTTAATGTACTTAATGAATGCTTGATACTCGATAGTTAAAGTAGATTTGATTGGGCAAGGTTAGAATAGTATCCATTTTATTAAACAAATAAGCTTTATTTTATCTATTAAACTGAGTTTCTACATCATCACTTTGTACTTTTCGGTACCGTAAAAATCATCAATTAAAAGCTCTTGCTCAGCCAGAACCCAATCCCGTATTTCATAAATCCACTCTTTGGGTTTTGTATTCATCTTTTCAAAGGGCACAAGTCCGTTGCCTTTGGCATTCTCTATAATCTTCGAACAATCAAATGAATACTCATGAACAATCCTTACACTCTCCTCCGAGGAGCATTTTTCAATAAAATCGCTCATAAATTTATCCACAAAAATATCCTCGGTTATCTCCCGGTTTTTTTTTCTTCAAGTGTTGCTCCTCGAGTATTTTTAAATACGCTTCTGAGGGATGCTCCCTTCGGAAGGAGTCTCAGGGCATGAAAAAGCGACTCTTCGCATTCTACATCATGCCTATTTGTTAATTGGGTTTTTAAAGCTATTTGCTGCTCCATAAACTTGACTAGCTCCTTTATTTGATATTGCTCTTCATGGTATGTGTCCTCAATTAGGTATCTGCAGTCCAGATGAGATGTGTTAGCACTGCCTTCATTACTATCGTCTTTGCCATCAGACTTTTGGACTGAAATTGCCTTCTTGATCAGTGACTCAAGATAGAAACTAAAAATCTCAGTTATAATGTTCAATGCTTGCTCTGTGGATCTTTCAAAGCCCAGCTGAAGAAGAACCTCTGTTGAGACTAATTTGAGGAGTTTCTTGTTTATGTCTGTTTTCATTCCAGCACTTTTTGGGGTGGCATAAAGATGACAAGCATGGGATTGCAATAGATCGGTAGTATAAGTTGTGCATGGCTACACTTGAATTAGTTTTACTCTGTACTAAAATTATAGCTAATGAGCAAATGTCGTCTTTTCTATAAAATTTACGCCAGTTATAGTTTTATTTACAAATTTAATGAAGTTCTTTGTGATTAACAACAATACCATTACTACGTCTTGTGTCTCTGTCATTGGCCGGCTGTTCATGGTTTTCTCCATAGTGTGGCTCATCTGTATGAACACTATGCTGCTCACCATGGCTATAGTGATTAGGTTCATTTAAATGCGGCTCATGCTCGTCGCGGTGGTTATGGTGGTTGTAGTGATGATCGTCAATTCTGTGGCAACTATCATCATCATGAACATCGTGTCTTCTGTGATAGTAACCGTCATCTCCGTGGAAGAATCCGTGGTCATGATGGTTGTACTGGCTGTCCTCATATTCAATGTTTCGTGTAAAATCGTGTCCAAAGTTTTTAACAAATCTTCCTGCTATATTATATCCATATCCCTTTATTCCCCCGTCAGAAAGAGTCTTATGAGTCAGCATTCCCAGATCCTTAGTGAAAATGCCTGTTTTATCGTAGTTTGCATTACAGAACTGCACATATTGGCAAATATCAGCCAATATGGCACCATTAATGCCCTGAATCTGGGATATGCTCTTTGTTGAGAATATTCTGTACAGTCCTTCGGCTATTTTGTGCTTCATTATTTCAGGATCAGTAAGGAGTATACCGTGAATCTTTCCACATCGATTCTTACTTGCCATATGGCTACTTGTGGGCAGAAATGCATTGTTGTGTCTACAGTCCACTAGCAGTATTTTGTTGTCTCCTAGCGAGTGAGGGTCCTTAAAGTCGTTCAAGAAATTTTCAGTTATTGCCGTTATGTTTGAAAAATATCCACAGTATTTTTCGTGTAGTTCGGAATACTCATGTTTGAAAAGCTCGGAATAATCGGCCTTGAACTGCACGTTCGTACCCTTCAATGTCTTATTCACAGCGTTGAATATTGCCCCGAAATAGTGCTTTATGTGTGCAGATTCAAACTCTGTATGGGATGGCTCAATGTGCTCAGTAAAGGCATGTGGGAGAATGTGGTGGATGTAGTTTGTAATCACATGGCGAGAATTTCTATCAGCATATATCTTTACGCCTATTTGGTATGTTCCCTCATCGTTTAGGCAACCTTTCTGATATGATAACAGCAAGAGTGCAAATATTAAAAACATGTGTGGCATATCCAAACAGGGCATTTATTTAAAGATATGACATGACAGGTGAGTATGTGTATCAGTGATGACTGTTACTGAATAAATGAAACGGTATCAAGTGTAATGAGCAGGAAGATGGTTTGGTGGTTGTATCAGATAAAACTTCGTTTTATATGCTAGCAGCTAATGCTGGTGTGATCCGTCTTTTTGCCAGATACTCCTTGTTGTACAAAATTAATTTAAATCGTCAATATCTACATCCTCTGGAGCTAGGTTTTAGTCATGTTTCACTTATCTATCAGTTGAGCTATCCTTTTTTATGCAAACTATTAAGGCTACAAAGAGACAATCACGTTAGACGCAATAACATTCACTGCGCAAAACATTTCCAGGAACTTTGTTTCAGACATCAAGAGCACATTACTGAAGTAGAAATGCATAGTATTCGTAAAGAGAATAGCCAAAGCCGGATGAGGGGATTCTCATAAATCTACTTCTGGGGCTTTCCCATGGTTATTTTGCACTGTTCCCGAAGCTAAGTAGTAAAGAAAGCCAAAGCAAAAGTTCTACATCACATTCACCACAACGGTAAAATCTAATGAAATATCAAACAACTTTTACCCTACTTACCAGCTTAGCTTTGAAATGCTTTCACATACTGTGCATCCTCACAACGGCGCTTTTACGCTGTCTTTCAGATGATACAATCCCTGATTGCATTTTCATTACAAATTTTGGTTATTAATGGACTTTTTGAAAACTTTATTCAAAAAATATAGTTGATGCTTGGCAAAGTAAAATATTTACGAAGATCAATGGGGAATACAATACAACGAATGCCAACGATACATTTGGTTTTTAATAGGATCAAATGCCAACTATCTTTGCTAGAAAGATAAATCAACTAGAATGTGCTATTGGGTGTAACTTATCGCACCACAATAACTTGAAAAATACCAGGAAGGCTTCTGCATTTTACTCTTTTTCCATCTTGGATTTTTACTGCACCATCGATTTTCTTACCCATGAGCAGCATCCTCGTTAAATTTGCCAATAAACTTAGGCCATGCCAGTCAACTGAGGTGTTACAGGTGGATTCCAGTGCAGATAGACTCTTTCTTACTTCTCTTCTTAACACAATTCTGCACACAAACAGCCAATACTTTTTGTTCTACAAAAACGAAAGAATACTCGAAAATCTGATAAGCATAATAGAGAAATGTAATTTGTGCACCGAAGACGTGCTAGACATCGACTATATTGATGAAAAGGACATCGGTGCAGATTCATCAATGCATTGCAGCGACGTTGTCCGCTCTTTTGCGTTGTTCCAAGACAAGCTGTTTTATCTCACATATGAAGGAAAAATTTTCGAAGTTGACCAAGACCAGTTAGTCACTAAAAATGAAATATACATGAAGAATAATAGCAGGACTGTGGGAATATTTGTGGGAAGGGAGTTGTATGGCTACGCTTCTGATAGCATATTTAAAGTTGATGGTGGGGGATTTTTAGAAGTCCCGGATGAGATAAGATGCTGCAGTGCCTACAAAAAGCATATTGCTGTTGGATGTGCAAATTCAATATATTTAGTGAATGCCGACCTCAATACAATTGAAAAGATTGCTGGAAAGCCAGCTTTAGGGGCTTCTGTTAGAAGTATACAAATGAACAGCGATATAGTTGCATGGATACAGGGTCATGGTTCTATTTGTATCTATGAGAGATCGACCAAATCAATTAAAGTGCATAAAACGCCAGGAGGATTAACTGCCTTAAAAATACACGATGGTAACTTGGTGGCACTCAGCTCATGCCATTTAATTATAAAAATAAGTCTAGAAAGTGGAAAGATAGACGAGTATATCAATACTTTCAGATATTCAAATGCTCTTGAGTTGAAAGGAAATGCAGTAATTCATGCTTCTCAGAAATACGTAGCTGTTGAGAGGATTAATAATGGTGTTTGCAACGGAACAAGCGACATTATTTTGGCAGTTCATGGACAGATCAATAGCATTATTCTTATTGGATCGTCTTTGTATGTAGCACATGATAATGCCATCTCGAGAGTTTCACTTGAAAGGAAGACAACGAACAGTGATGCCACAAGCTAGTAGCTAATTAACAGCATCACCATGCGCATACTCAGTTGTGACGTGTCGGATTAAATTGATAGCCATTTTGGATGCATGCCAAATTTGGTGATATGGTTGCTGCCTTTTATTGAATAAATTAGCGAATTGATTTTAATTTTCTTCTTTATAACGAATTTTTCCTTCATAGCCATGGGCCAAAAAGCAAAGTTGAGAAAAATTAAGAAAATGGCTTATAAAGCCAAAGAAAAGAACGAAATACTAGAAGAGTCAATAGAGTCGTCGATGTCTGCAGCAGAGCTGGAGAGAGGAGTGCTTAGTGCACCTATTAAACCGCCATACCAAGTTATTCTTGATACTAATTTCATAAATGATTGTATCAGAAAGAAAATGGATTTGGAACAATCTCTGATTGAATGCTTAGAGGGGGAAGTCGATCTGCTAGTCCCAGAGTGTGTGTTTGGAGAACTGGAAAAGCTTGGAAGAGTATATAGGGTGGCATTGAATATGATTAAAGGATTGAAGATTGAGACCCTGAAATGTAGTCATAAGGGAACATATGCAGATGACTGCATAATAAATAGAATCAAAGAGTTTAGATGTTATATTGTGGCTACCACGGACACTAACCTTAGGCAGAGAATTAAGAAAATACCACTGGTGCCTGTGGTGTTTTTTAGGGGACACAAGTGCATGACAGAGAGGTTTGCAGGTGGATCATTGTACTAACAGTACTTAATATAGACGTATCTAGCCATCATTTATAAACATTCAAGAACTAACAGCTTGGCAACAAATAGCACAATAAGTTAGAATTAAATTAAGGTAGGATTGACTTACAGTTGCTTTTTTCTATTGGATATAGCAGAAGTGTTAAATATTGCAGTAGCCATACTGGTGGAACCCTTTTCTGATTTGTAAGCATCCCAAGGCTCTTCATTAAGTTTTACATCAATCTGTGCGTATGGAATGCGTGTATGCACGCCATTCCACTTAATAGGGCTTTTACAGATTTGTTCAATCCTTTTATTTTAAAAATGATATACTTGATGCCCAAACAATGCACATCTCTATATTCAAAATCTTTATTTGCTACTTTACCATCTTGGCAATCTCAACCCACAGTTCTCAATTAAAAGCCCAATCTATGTTAAATTTTGAACAATACCCGCTGTGGAATGAAAGCCAATATGTGCTAGAAAGCAGTACTTGGATATCTAAAACGAACACTGACAAACAATGATTATTCAGAAGTAAAATGGAATGCTCAGCTTAACATTCTACTTTTCCTTGCATAAAACTTTTGCAAAAATTTACCCATCGAAAATGCAAGACATATCAAAAACGCAAAGCATGCAGAATGATGCAAGTATACAACCAGAGCAGCAGATTACGACAAGTTTTACACTATTTGAATTAAGTATCACCAATGTTGCCATATTCTGGGGTCTTATAGTTATTTTGGCAGAGTTTCTTCCCCACATTAAAATTTTTGGGTGGAATGTACTTCCCACCAGTATTCTTTCAAAGATAGCTATGTCAAGAGATAGCGTTGTTAAATACTCATTTGGGTGGATTCCTAAATTTATTAAGGCTTGGGATTCAACATCTACTACGCTATTTCCTGCAGTTGAGAGTAAGAAATTCTGCAATTTGTGCATAAAAATGGTTGTCGAATTTGTATCCAGTTTTTTTGAGCTCGTTCTTTCTGTAATTAATCTTCCATCTGGAGTTTTTGTAACTGGAGATTTCTCAAAGTCAGGCAATAACCTCAGGGAAGCAGGAAGGCATTTTTGGAATTTTATCTGCACCCTTTTGATGATTAGACACCTAATTTGGTTTCTGGGTTCCTTTTTAATTGCAATGATTGTTGAAGCTTTTCGCATACTTTTCGTGTATCTCTCAATTTTTGTAGTCATTCTTGTATATGCTGTGTATATAGTCATATTCGTGTATATGAAGCTTCTTGGTCTCAAGCCGAAACTTTCTGCTATTCGACTTTGGACATCCAAAGATTCTACCGCTAAGGTTGCAGATACAGGCTCTAATATACTACCGTCTGATATATCAAACAGTAAGTTTTATAAGCAGTTTTTAGAGAACTATATAAAAAAGGCACAAGATCCTCTATTATTACCATGGGACTTTGTAAATTTTTGGGGCGCCACGGAACCAGAAAAGCTAAAGCTATCCAGGCAAGTAGTTGGTGAACTTAGAGATAGAGGGCTCTTTAATTCAGGGGACTCTTTTATGCATAAAAAACTAAAACATCATGCAAGAAACCATTTTATAGTTGATTCAAGATTTTTCCTCATCCTTGAAGCAAGCTATAGCTATCTTAGGGGAACTTGCATCTTTATCTTCTACCACGCCATTTGGAATTGACGTAGAAAAATTACGAAGAATACTTATATACATGAAATATAAGGATGTTTCAGACATTGACAAGATATTGAAGGATGTCTCGATATTTTTAAAAGGGCATGTGCCTTTTGAGGGCCTTTTCACGGTTAACAGGGAAATGTACTATAAGTTAGTTGCATTTCTGAAGATTTATACTCTTTGGGAGTTTATTAAAGTGAATAAAGCCGACGCCTTCATCAGCGAGGATTCGAATACTGAGCATTCTATTTCATATTCTAGTAGCATTGATAACAGACTGATGAGCGAAGAAGAAAAAATGAACCAAATGGCAGCATATACCGAAAAATGTGAAGAGGAGATGGAGAGCCTTAATGATTTCATTTCAAAGGATGAGCTTAATGAGATTTCAGAACAGTATCTTCTTAAGGCTCTTAATCTAAAGGTTTTTGAAATACAAGAGGATAATCAAACTGTTAGTGAGACACCAGACAACACTAATGAGGAGGCAGACCAACGCAGAAAGTTGACAATTCTAAAAAGACAAGAAGGTGAAGTGACTTACTTTTCAAAGGTGCTTGTGGAAGAGTAGAGTTATTTTAAGAGAATTCCACTGGTTTTCATCAGTAAGTAAATTATGTTTGTAGTAAATCACGAAGACTAGTAAATATCATACATCATCATATTTTATTGTAACGCTGTCGTTTATTATTGCATGACGATGTTGCTTTAATGCTCATCATATTTTCAACATCACCTGAATTTAGTGGTTCTGCCTTCTTGCACCCATGTCTGAACTACTTCCTGTATCTAAACACCCTCTTAGTGCCAATCCAAAATATGGAAAGGCCGTAGAATCACTCAAAGAGAAACATTATAGAGAATGTAATAGAGACGGAAACTGCCTGTACTCCAGTGTCACGCTTCTTATATTTCCATTATTACGAGATGAAAGGGCCAAATCGATGTTTTACGGGTTTACAAAAGAATTTGAGGAGATGGATGTGCCCAGTGTTGTATACGAATGCTACATCACATCTATAGAGGAGATTATCGAGAAGATTTCAGTGGATGATCTTGATTCCGAAGACTTGACTGTATTTACAGCTTATCTAAGACTAATATGCTCAACGCATGCAAAGATGAATGAGAAAAAATACCAAAGTTTCATACAAATGGACTTGAAACAATACTGTGCAGAGCACATAGATCCAATGGATCAAAGAGCGGGCAGTTTTGAGCTGGCAGTTCTGGCAGATGCACTACAGTTAAAAATAACTGTAATTTCGATTGCAGATGACGAAAAATTTCAAACCTCATTTGGGGAGGGGCCAGAAGTGAAAATTTTACACACGCCGGATCATTTTGAGCCACTTTATGACTAAGTTTTATGCATAAATAATCAAAATATATTAAAGATGCTGTTAATATTGAAAGGCTTGTAAATCTCTTATGTTTTTAATATTATCCAAATACAATGGCAAAAACCATCAATCCAAGCCTTTTAATAAACCTTGATGTTGGGGCCCGTCGTTCTCTTCAAATAGCAGTCCTTGATGTTTTGGGGCCCCTTCTTGAGATTGTCAGCAAGAAACTGAACACCATACTTGATATTCTCGACAATCTCATCTACTGTCATTTGACAATGGCCAACAGGAAAGCTCAGTGCGTACCAGTCTTTGACCTTGAGCCTGTACGTCTTAAGACAAGAATCATATATTTCCTTCAACTTAGAGGCATCTTGGCACATGAAATGGGTCTTTTTCTTCTTCAGGATGTCCCTGAGATTGAATGCCTTCTGGTAGTCAGGACAGAGGATAAAGTATTTGTACTTAGCAATGAGATCCTCTCTTTCCCTGGCTAGAGACTTAGCCTCATAGTTGGAAACCAAGGCAAATGGAATGTTTAGCTGCTCCGCAACAGTCTGGGCATTAGCATTTCCAATCACACATATGCTGGGATCTCTCCTCATAACATGCGGAAATGCAATGTCCTTGGTCATTTTTGGATCTTTCCTGTTTTCATACCCCTTTACATTCAATTGGAGCTGCACAGTCTCATTTTTGTCCTTGCAGGACTCCAGAATCTGCTTTACAGTCTCTGGTATTATGCTTTCTTCCAAAAAGTACACTTTCTTGAGCTTCTCTTCAAGCTTTGGATTAGCCATCAATGGGTAAATTTTTACAAAAATTTTATAGCTTTGAACAAAGAATGGAAAAACAGAAGCTCAAACAAGAGATACGGCAGCATAGTAGCTTGGATTTGTCTTTGTTGACTAGGCAGGCTGGTATGTTTATGAGTTTTAAACAAACATTGTACATCTTTTAAGACAGGCTGTTGATAGCTAATTTTGAAATTATTAATTAACTTAATTAGTAAACTTTGAAGATTTTAAATAGTGTCAGTAATCATTTGGTTTTAATGTTAGCTGCTAAGCTTATTTGATCCACCAAGCTTCTAAGCTTTTTAACAGCCAATGAGACATCGACTTTTCTATCCTCCAATATTCCAAACACAAGTTTCTTTATCTGCCTAGGACTCATATTTTCGATTTTCTTAGCTATTTCAAATAACAAAAGGCTATTCTCATCTACAAGACTTCCGCAAATCTTGACGCTTGAAAATTCTGAAAATTGGAAGTAATTAAAAAGCTGAAAATCCTGAATCTTCTCGAATACTCCTTTTAGGAGAAAATAGACATGCTCATGCTTAAGGCTTTTCATTTCGAAGAGAACATCACAACGACTTAGAAATGCCTCATCAAGCTCTTCTTTGAAATTAGTTGTAAAAATGAGTAGGTTTTCAGACTTATCCAAAATATTCAACAGCGTGTTAACAATCCTCAGAGAGTCTCCCGGCTCATTTCTGGAAAATAGGTTTGACCGGTTCATCAAAATTGAATCGGCCTCATCTACCAATATAACTGTATTTTCCTCGCATTCCTTCAATGTCTTTTCAAGAATTTTCATAGACTCGCCATAGAATCGACTGAACAGCTGCGAGCATCTAATCCTTCTCAGCGTATATACCTTGTTCCTTCTTATGGCCAACTTTTGCACAACAGCTTTACTCAATGACGACTTTCCTGTCCCAGGCTTGCCATGTATCAGCACGCATTTGTTTATTCCAAATAATTCCCGTACCTTTTTTGATGCGTTTTCTATTTTGAGTATTTTTTCAAAAAGCTCATACTTCTCCTTCTCGTCATACACGATGCCCTCCCAGAGATGCAAGTACTTCCTACTGGGCAGTCTTTCCTCACTGCAGTACTCCTGTTCTATTTCCCAGCTTTGGGTCTTGTATTCAAATCTCTCGACATCCTCAATGCTGTCCAAGGTCACATACCCCTCATATTGTCGAAGTGTGGGGCTAAAGAATTCGCAGACGTGAATGGAGTTAGAGATACATGTATTAAGCTTGTATGTGCCAATGGAGATTTCTTCCTCGTCCGAGTCTGTTCTGATTTCCACTCTGAGCATTGCAATACATAAAATCTTCAAGGACACAAATGCATTTAAGAATAATCGAGGAATGAAAGAGTCCTTGCTTAAAATAAAAACGCATCTGCCGTATAAGATGGAATGCCACCAAATAGCTGAATGGCACAAAGCTAATGCACTGCGTGGCACATCAAGCTTTAAACTGAAATTAGCAACGCAATACTCTTTTAAAACAGAGTACTTTTGCAAAATAGTTTAATTTAAAATATTATGATTTAGGGATGTCTGTATGAATGATTTGCAAAAGGGCAATGAACGCGGTAATGCTGATACATGTTATCCTTTCTACTAAACCTTCTGCTGCATCCAGGATTAAGACACTTAAATGGCTTAATGTCAGTGTGGATAATATAATGTCTCTTTATCCGAGAGAGCGATGGAAATGCTTTGTCACAGTCCTCCCACGGACAGTTAAACAGCTTTGTGTTGGGATCAAACCTGAATATTCCCTCGTCGAAATCATTGAAGCTCTTAAATCCACTGCTATCTACTTCAACGGCCGAGCTGTCACTTAACTCTTTTTCATGTCGCCTATGCTTTGGCTTAGACTCCATATACTCTGATAGTCTATTTTCCGTTTGGTATATCTCTCGAAGATATTCCAGAGGATGCCTGGAGGGAGATGCTGGTGGATGGAAGTATGTCTCTTCCGCTCTATCTGATACTTCTTGAAGAGATTTGGCTTCTATACGTGCAATGTTCCTCAGTTCTTCCAGTAGCTCTTCCCTCGAAACCGGCTCTTCCTTCTCAACATGGTCTTCGCGTCGCTGTGTTTTGGAGTAATGCACAGGAACACTCTGTACATTTGATCTATGCGCCTCTGAGTTCATGCTTTGCATACCTTGCTGCTTAACTGGCCTATCTTCCTCTTGACTAAGCCCGTCACGGTACTGAGAGCCAGTATATTGTGGAGTACATGTCACGCCAAGGCTTCGGCCAACCTCCTTCTGCTTACCGTACGACAATCTCAATCCACTTTCCTCACTTCCCTCCTGCATTGGTTGCTCTACCCTCAAACTTTGATTTTTTTCCTTGTTCATTATGGGAGGAGAAATTTTATCATCAAGCCGTTTTGCCTCATTTTTGAGTATGAGAAGATTGCAGGCATCTTCTCTGAGACTTGCAGTGTTGGATGCCATAGAACCTTTTTTTTCAGGGATTGATTGAAAAACGTTCGGTTGTGTGCTGTTTGCTGCTATACCACTATCCTCTTTGTACTGAATACCATGCTGTGTATTACCTTGGTTATTTATAGCATTTTCCATAGCATTTCTACTTGAGCCCAATAATAGGGTATCGTCATTAACATTATTTTCTGTGATGGTTTTCCTATCAGTATTTTTCTTCGGTCCGTTATTCTGATTTTCAAACTCCATCTCATCTGGGGTTTCAGCATTCTGCGCAGTCTTCTTTACAGAGTTAGGTATTCTAATGCTAGTATTCTTTTTGACTCTGCTAGGCTCCAACGTCTTCGTTTGTCTGGTCGTTCCTTCTTTCATAATTAAGGGACCTTCCCTGGCCGATTTTAAGGAATTGAAAATCCCCTTTCTCCTGAAAACAAATGCACAAATGCGGCTGAAAGAGTGGGCTGGGCAGAATGAGCTATGCCTCTATCGCAAGGTAAATCTGATGAGTGTGATAAATAAGCTTACCATATTAAAAACAATGAAGTAAATAAAGAAACCTAGATAACTGGGATGTTAGCCATGCGTATCGTTATTTTCAATTTTATTTATGTTTGCTTATTACATAATTCCAGCTATGCTTTTTATAAATATTTTAATATCAGTCATAAAATTTGATTTTCATGACTGATACTTGTTGAAAGTAATAGCATATGCATTTGTAGTAGCACACTTTGTATGCTCTTTATTCATCTCTATAAGATCTGTTTTGGCAATTAATTTCATAAGCCACAGTTTTTCTTCACAGCACAACAATTTTTTGTAAATTTTTTACTATCCTCAATGCTTTACAAAATCAACACGGAATTCAAAAAATATTCGACTTTAGACTCGGTAAAGGATATTTTGGACGATTTAAGCACCCAAAAATTTGAGATTTCGATTTTAGACCTCAGCCTCAATACATTTGTACCAGAAGTGTTTGTGGAAGTGGCAAAAGTCATTAAGGAAATGCAGAACCTCAAGCACATCAAACTAGAGAGCATATTTGATTCATTGACATTTGAGGAGATGACAGATGTGCTAAGAGCACTAAGCCTGGCCCTTCCCCAGGGATCTTCACTCCTTCGAGCTGCCCAGCAATGCTGTTTCATGCAATTTTCCCGAGGAGTTTGGAAAATTTCTGGAGGAGTGTCCTTTGCAGGTCCTAAACCTGCATAATTGCGGTCTTGGAGAAGAGGGGCTGAAGAAGATCACATCTCATCTTGAGAAGCTTGAGAATAAAGACAGCTTAATATCACTCAATCTGTCTAAAAATCGTATTAATATTATTTGTCCTGAGTTTTGCACACTCTTCAGCCAATTTACAAATCTCCGTGAATTTATCCTAAATGCAAATACCATAGAAGAAAAGAGCATGTCCCAGTTTCTGAAGAGTGTGGAAAATAGAAGCTTAGAAGTTCTGAACCTAACAGACAATTTTGTATGCGGAGAGGCCATAGAGCATCTTGGCTCTCTTTTTCTGAAGAATACTATAAAGGAGCTCTATCTGCAAGATATTAAGGTAGATAAGGGAGACATCAATAAGCTACTAGGAATGCTCAAGACAAAGAAGGCGACTTTCCAGGATCTATGGATTGCTTGAGGCAGGAGGTTACACTTGATATTTCGTGCAATTTCTTTGGGCAGGATTGCATCACCATGCTGGAGGAGCTTGCTACTCTTTTTAAGTTTAAAAGACTGGTCATATTTGAGAACAACTACGAAAGCATCGAGACACTCCGAGAGCTTGTTCTGAATGACGGGGGAGTGGTAATAGATGAGGAGGAAGAGGAAATTGAGCCATTGGACGAAAAGATTTTAGAAAAATTAAAAGTTTTATGAAGCGGTATTAAAGAAAGACGACACAATCGATGTTTTTACTATGTTTCCAGCAATTTTGGCCATATTTGAATTTAATATCTTATTCTTTTGTTGTTTTCAACACATATATTAATATAGTGGTTTAGTATGCTGGCATTTTGCACACAGTTTTTGGCACGGCATTCTTGTCTTCTAGTTTGCGGCACTCGCTGCCAATATAGTGTTTTGGTTTAAATATTCTGAAAATTTTCACCATCATGCAATTATCAGCCAAAGACAAACACTTGAGATATAAGAAGACGAAATGCATTCTGGGCGAAGGAAGCTACAAGACTGTCACAAAGGCTATCGATGAGGAAGAGGGGAAAGAAGTAGCCTACAATGAGGTCAAAATGAAGTACTGTGAGGACGAAAACCAGAATGTGTCATCTTTTTCAAAAGAAATAGCATTGCTGAAGAGTGTAGACCATCCAAATATAATTAAAATAGTTGACTACTGGTTTTCTGACGACAACTTCATCTTCATCACCGAGTTTATGACTGGAGGATCATTGAAGGAGTATCTTCAGAAACATGGGCCACTCAGCACAAAGCTTATTCGGAAGTGGGGAAAGCAGATACTTGAAGGATTGAAGTATCTCCACATGTTGGATCCACCAATTATACATAGGGATATTAAAAACGATAACATCTTTGTAAATACAGCAATAGGAGAAGTAAAAATTGGAGATCTTGGACTGGCAAGAGAAAGAAGACATAAGAGATACACGATTGTTGGCACTCCGCACTTCATGGCCAGGGAAATGTTTGAGGGGAGGGATACACTGAGAAGATCGACATCTATGCGTTTGGGATGGGATTGATTGAAATGGCTACTGGGAAGACACCATACAGTGAATTTAAGGATACTACCGAGATATACAAGAATGTGCTGCAGGGGATACTTCCAAAGGCCATACAGATGGTATCAGATCCGTGCCTCAAGAGTCTTATCATGGGGTGCATTGTTCCCTCATCCTCCAGATATACTGCTGCGCAATGCTTGGATCACCACTTCTTCCACCCAGATGTGATATGCACCGGAGACTGCATCCCTCGTGAGTGTGTGGCAGTATATCCGCTAAACGGCGCGCCACCCAAGGACATGGAATTGAGCATTGTTTCCATTATTGACAATATTGTTGTGTTTCAGATGCTCCTGTATGCTACCATGAAATTTATCAAATTTGAATATGATCTTAACACCGATACAGTGAAGAAGATATGTGACGAACTCTTGGCCGAGAAGATAGTTGACACTAGTGCTGTTGAGACTTTTTCGTCCTTGTTGATATCAGGACTGGAGATTGTTGAGATGAAGATTAGCTCAGGACAAGTGCATGATGGAATAATCGAAGTTAATTCCAACGAGATAGGGAGGATCAGGGATGTGGATATGATTGTCACCACAAGCCCAGAGAAGGAGGACAGCGAATCACTGCAAAGTGTTAATTTTGGAGCAGATACTATTGAAGAGATGAGAATCATCGAGGAGAATATTAAAATTGCAGAGGCTAAGAAGGAGCTAGAAAAGAGAAGAGAAGAAGAGATAACCCAGAAGTTAAAAATGAAGCTTCAACAAAAGAGCACCACGCCGCCTGAAGACAATTCGGTATGCTCTCTTGAACTGGGCAAGTCCGCAGTTAAGTTTAAGAACGAAAGTGTATCTCAAAAGGAGTTATACGCAGATTTTACTTTCGAGGATATTTATTCACAGTTTCCTAATGCGCCGCAGCCATCCAATGTACCATGTGAGGGTAATAGTGGCAACATTAATGTAGTATCTGAGCCCTTGGGCAGTAAATTGGGAGATCTGAAGGTATCACCAACCCAGAAGTGCAGACACCAAGCAGAATGTTGCCCCTTGTATGATGAAAATGCTGTATGCTCTCCAACGAAGAAGCAGGATTCATCTGGAGATACCAACGCATATAGATTGCAATCGTCTAATCGGTCAAGAAGAGCTGGGAATACGCTCACCGCCCATCTCATCACCGCCATTTGGCACCACACGGCTTACAGAGGAGCAGGCAGTGAATGATATAAGCCTTAACGAAAGCTATGAGCTATGCAAAACCAAGTACAAGAATAATTTTTTAATACCGCAGTATGCCCTTGACGCAGCATCCATTACAGGAAGGACTGAGGATACAGCAAAGAGCTGGATCAAAGCTCTGCGAGATGAGGATATCGAGACAGTGTTTGATCTTAAACTTATGGTGTATGAAGATTGGGAGAGGCTGCCTCTGACGGTGTTTTCATGCAGAGCTATGCAGAATATGCTGTACGGCATTGATGGCGTACCACCTAGAGAGAAGCACTTGCCATTAAATCCAAAATTGAAAGAGTATGACAACAAGATGAGTATCAAAAGCTTCTTGGAGGATGTTTGTGGAGGCATCAATAGAAGAGAGCTGGTATCTAGCTGGGAAGACAGGCTCCTGGCTCAGGATATTCAAACAGTTGGAGAGCTTAAGAGTCTTCACAATGAAGACTGGAATCGGCTAGGCCTGACTGTCTATGCTTTTAGGATCCTCAAAAATGTTATTTTTAGGAAGGGCAAAATTCTAATTGACGATAGCCGATAAATTTCACAAATAAATGATGTTTAAATAATACAGCATTGCAGCCGAGCTGGAATAGGAAAGACTGTTTTAGTGATCTGATCATGACTATACAGTAACTTGCCAGATTCATTCTTCTGATTAGTGCTTAAATAAATGCAAACTAACTTTTTTTGTCGCTGGCTTTATAATTTAACTATAGATATATCTGTGTATACTCCCATGCAATCTCCAGCCACAGCATGCATGCTACAGGGAATATGTTGGTATTCCGCACTGATGCTGGATAGACAGCATACTCAATCCATTCCCATTCCGCTGGGTTGCACAAAGAACATAGAGAATCCTTAGAGTTTCTATTGTGCATTAAATGCCATACCGTAGTATTTATTCAACGGACTACATTTATCACAATCAGGAGTGATTGCACTAGAATGATTTGGCATGATATGCTTGACATCTATCAACATTCTATTTTCAATTGAATTTTTGAGTGGTAGCATGCACTCACAAATTACCAGCACAGTCAATGTGATATTGGCAGTATTACAGTCCTGCTTGTAGTTAAAGCGTATATGTCATTGTGGTTTTTAACTTGGAGATACATCATTCTACTGTCAAATTCAACTATTTAAAAATTTTTAGCACATACCCCTTAATGAATATTGTACGAATGAGAAAGGCATGCAAAGCAATCTATAACCTAGTTGTACTCATGGGAGCTACACTCCAGAGCTCGGACAATGGTGCAAACCCAAGTGAAATCTATAGCTTTGATGAGTATCCTGTGGATGTCACTGAAATATCTATATGCAGACAAGGCATTAGATTTATTGGCAGCGATGTTGGGAGGTTAGTGAAACTAGAGAAGCTAGATCTCAGTTTTAACAATCTCGAGACATTGCCACCCGAGATAGGAGAATTGAAGAATTTACAGCATCTGGGTCTATATGGCAATAGGCTCAGAACACTACCATCTGAGGTAGAAGAGTTGAAGAATTTACAGCATCTGGATCTTAGATACAACGAATTTGAATCATTTCCAACAGTGATAAGAAAACTAAAGAATCTAGAAAGACTGATTCTCAACGGTAACAAATTTGGATTATTCCCAATTGAGATAGCAGAGCTGAAGAAACTACAGCGCTTGGAACTTCATGATAACAAGCTAAAGCTATTACCAGACGAGATAGGAGGGATGAAGGAACTACAGACCTTGTATCTTGGATACAACGAATTTGAATCATTTCCAACTGTGATAGTAAAGCTGAAGAATCTACAACATCTGTTTCTTGGTGGTAACAAGCTTGAGACACTGCCAGTTGAGATAGTAAAGCTGAAGAGTCTACAGAAACTGAATCTTTTGAAAAACAGATTTGAAATATTTCCAAATGTAGTAGGAGAGCTGGAGAATCTAAAAATACTGAATCTTAGTAATAACAAACTCGAGACATTACCAGACACTATAGGAGAGCTGGAGAATCTACAAGAACTGTATCTTTTGAAAAACAGATTTGAAATATTTCCAAATGTAGTAGGAGAGCTGGAGAATCTAAAAATACTGAATCTTAGTAATAACAAACTCAAGATACTACCATCTGAGATAGGAAAGCTGGAGAATCTACAACATCTGTTGCTTATTAATAACAAGCTTGAGACACTGCCAGCAGCAATAGGAGAACTGCAGAATCTGCGAGAATTGAATCTTGGTGGTAACAAACTTGAGACACTGCCAATTGAGATAGAAAAGTTAGCTGGTTCGTTGCGATTACTGAATTTAAGAGGCAATAACATTTCAGAGGTTGGAGATGGAGAAAGGACTGTGGGATGGAGAGAACTGAGAGAGATATTTGGGGATCGTGTTGTGCTTAGCAGCGACAACGTTGAATATGAAGAAGATGAAATTTCAGTCGAGGACGTGTACAGAGAACTTAAGAGCAAGCCAATGCACTGGAACTTCGAGATGCTGAGAACACTCAGACCGCCGTCAGTTCCTGAGTTTAAACGCAGCGAGGAAGAATTGGTGAGGCTGTGGAATGGGAGCATGTTTGTGAGGGAGTGGGACAGGCTGTGGCCCGGGGTCATTGAGACGATCGAGGCCAACAGAGGAGTCCTTGTGGCAGTGTATGGAGAGGACTTTTCTGCACTGCTCAGGACAGATGTAGACGGGGAGACCAGGAATAGGAATTTCACAGAGATTGTTACAAAGGTTGCAGAGAACAAAGACAGCTACACCAGGGAACGAAACATATCAAAGCTCGCTGGTAATGACAAAAGCACCTTTATGGACATGTGGGAGAAGAACAGCCGCATGTTCATAATGGGCGACAACAAGAGAACAATGGACGAGCTCATACACCACATCTACAATCCAGACAAGGAGTACAGGAGGTGGAGGATGAAGAAGAAGCACACAGGTCTGGCCAAGAACCTGCTTGGATCCATACTCAGTGTCCTTTCGAAAGAGAGTGATGGGGATGTGGTCTTCTCGAACATCAATGTGATCTGTGAGGGGCTTGGGTATTGTCCGGACAGACAGATATCCGAGATGATGTTTGT